GGATTATCGATAAAAGACCGGTTTAATAAAAAATGCGATGATCCTTCATGACTTGTGCGTTCTTTGTGTCAAGCTTTTTTCGAGGGGAGAGCAACTTTCTTTCCCTTTGGAGCGTTTGAGAAGTTCGAGACGCTAACTCGCGGGACTAGATTGGCGCGTGCATGCCTGAATCGGTATGCACGGCACGGGTTGCAGGTTTTCAAAGGACGAGCCAGGTGGTTGCACTACTTTCACTACGTCTACAAGTCCGCGGCGCGGCGGGTGCGCGCTCGATCGAGCGACGACGCGAGGCGACGCAAAGCGACGCGTTTTCACAGGGCCGACGGGAATCGCTTTGTAACACTTTCACGATGCAATTACACCAGCGGCGAGCGCACCCGAGTGTGTGCGAGAGTACATGTCCGACGAACCGGCCGAGTCAGCACGCCGCGAACGAACGAACGAACGCACACGCACACGCACGCACGCAGACGCGTCGACCGCCGATAGACACGCCAGTACGTGTCTCTAATAATACCAGTAATCATAATTAATTGCTCCGATCCTCGCCACGCCGATGAGATTGGGATTGATCTTCGGAGCCGCGCAGCGAAGTACGAGAACTCTTCGAGGCCTGGGGACTAAACGCTTCTGTGGAGCGTACGCAAAGGGTTAAAGATAACGCGCGATTTCGAGACGTTGGCGAATATATATGTATATTCGCGAAGAGAATTATTCTGCGAAGCCGTACAGCCCTTCTTGCGTCTAGGCACACTCTGGGGCTATGTATATAACAATGAAGCCAGGCAAAATCGACGCAACGATAAGTTTAATAACAATCATTTACTCTAATCTTGAATTACAGTGTTAATTCTTTTCATTAAAGTAAAATGAGGGGATAATATTTCGGATAACGTTTTGCCTTGGGGGGTCCGAGTGCTCCAAAGATGCCTGTAGGGTCTCTTGACAGCTGAAGCTTAGGTTTCATTAATTTTCACGCAGATTCGCCCCTGGGAGCGTACCCAAGTACGTACATACGCAAAGCGAGATGAGGAGCGAGCGAAGAGGGGAGATACGGAAAGGGGGGGCAATGCGATATCTCAGCGGGGCTCGCGATCATTTTCGTCTAACGGTCCGCCGACGATTATCGGACAAGATCTCGACGACCGGATAGCGCCACGAGCACGGAACAAACATCGAGGATCCGTTCTCACGTCGCCGGCGACATTTTCCCTCTCTTTCTCTCTTTCTCTCTCTCTTTCTCTTTCTCTCCCGCCGTGTCCGACGTATGTGAAAGACGGTTGCGCCTGTCAACTCCGGAGCGAGACGAAAGAAGATACGGGACAAATTAGCGGCCTTTATACGTTATACAGCGAATTGAGGCTAATCGTGGTGAGCCGGTAAAAGAGGGGAGACGCCGAAAATGGAATTACGCCCTAATGACGGAAGCGGGTCGATTCATTTATGAAATTGCGTAAGCTTTGGAGCCACGTCGCCGTAAATACGGGGGAAAACGAGGGACACGGGGTAAGTCGCTGCGGGTGCCTATATTCTACGTGCACACGCGATTAACCCTCTAATGCACCTTGGGGGTCTAAAGTCATCCGGATACCTTTTGTATAATTATACTACTACATGCATATATACTACACGCTTTAAGGATATTTTATATACATTGCATGTATATGTTCCTGTGGAAGTTCTGTTTTACGGGATACAAGTAATATGAAGTTTCTCCGCGTTGGCTTAGATATAACAAGATATAATATAAGTACCTAAATTTAAAACATAAAGATTTAAATGTACAGATGAACTATATACATAAATAAATTGTGAATTAATTATTGTATACATGAATAAGAGAGGAATTAAATTTAAAAACTGAAATATGCATGTGACATACATTTGGCGCTTACGAAACGCAACGGCATTTCCACTTTGTTTTATTAATCTTGTTTTCTTGCGATTCGAATGCACTTGTGGATCGCGAGGGGCGATTCAGTCGTTACCAAATCGATTGTACACGATTACATCGCGAAACGAGGCCACACCGCGGCCGCTACTTCAACACGCTTGCGAACGAAGCGGAAACTGTTTTGAAACTGTCGTGTTTTACGAACGTGCGAGAGCACGATATTGCACGCGAGCTGCTAAATGTTACGAGTATAATGGTTAATAGACGGGTTAATGGTTAATAAACTAGGTTGTCGTTATTTTGCGTGCCGGGCATACTTTCTCTGTTTTAGTCCCTTAGCGCTGGGATTATTTTGTAAAACGAGAAGAGCATTTTGCTGCGGGCGTGTTAAATAATTACAAGTTTTCCATCGTTACATGTGTTTCCTCTGTTAAAACAGAAATTTTATGAATGTGAAAATACAGAGAGAAGTTCTTTCATTGAAACACATGCGATATAGCTGAAAGGTATAAAAAATGTTAGCTGCATCTATATAATTAAAAAATCGAGATAACAGGTACGCGAAAAGCATGCTACTTTCAGTATTTGTACGTGAAATTTTCCCTTGTATTTTTCCACAACATAATTCAGATTCAGAAAAACAGTTGCGACGACATAACTATAAATTTTTGCTCAATTGTATAATATAAATTATCAAGATTCTGAATTTGCTACTCCGATCTTCAAAACGATTTTAAAGGACACATATATCGTACGTGAATTTTGATACTAGATTACATTTCCACACATACCTAGTCGACCGTTTCGCGTTTAACGCGCTCGTCATTGGTGGAAAAACATTGTTACCACGATTCAGTAAAGTTTGAAAGCGTGATGACACGTTCCGCAAACTCGAGGTAAACCCCCTGTATAGGATTCACGTTGTTACCTGGCCGAGCCGACAACAGGTAGAAAAGAGGAGGGTAGTGCCCCTTTTTTATCCAATGGCTGGAGAATTGCCACACTTCCTATCTAGCTAAACGTCCACTGTCAGCCGGGCGATAACGATCGGTTCGCTCGTCGACATATTCGTGATGTGACCACGTCACGAAAATTCATTTCCCGCCGACCGATCTCTCGAGTATTTACGACCGTTTTCTACGTTCATTACGTGGATTTATTGGAATTTAAGCCGGTCAACAATTTGTAGTCGATATATAGACGATATATGTTGAATAATTTTCACTCAAGTTGAATTTATTCTATATTTATGTCTCATTTATGATATTGTAATTTATTTCGAAACATGAAAAATTAAAAAGCATGAGACTAGAATGAAGTTTTGACAAATAAAATATAATAAAATATATAACTAAAATTTGGGCAGGAATATCTAAAATTAATTAATTTATTGAATATAACAAGACTGATTTTTTTGGTCGTAGTGGTCGTACTGTCCTTGTTGCGGATACCAAGTACCAAATAACTCATCGCTATCGACTAGAGATAAAAAAAAATTTACGATAACGATGCCATAAGAGAAAATTGCTGATAATATTTGCCTGACCCTAATCTCGAAGAAGATACAGAAGGGAGATTTACTACCCCGTGGAAAAAAAAATTAGACAAAGTGGACACGTAACCCTAAACCGCTCTTGGCAGAATGGTTCCCCGCGCGGAACCGTTTTGACGTTTGATGGATTACGTAACGGAACGAGAAAGGAAAATCTTCTCGTGCGGACGCGCGGGCCGCGAGGGAGTAAGAGGAAACGATGCGATCCGTCGCGGCGAGTGTTTGCCCGCGTAAAATATTTGCGCGTAGAGAGTCGAGCTCAAACACGTCCTGTCCCGTCATTTCCCGTGCGGTACGCGTCGCGCCGCGTCGCGCCGCGCGCGGTATTTGTGCGCCGCGCTATAAGCTATAAGCCGAAGGCGCGTCCTTCGGCGCGCGCGAAAACTTTACGCTCGTCTCTCTGTGCACACAGGCGTATTACCTATGTATACACGCGGGGCATATCGCGTGTCGCCGGGCGACCTTCGCCACCCTAAAATTTCTTTGCACAGCCATGGCGATCGACCACTTCCCTCGCCGGATATTTTTCCTTTAAAAAAAACTGACCGCAAAATGTCAGGCTTCACTCGTTGAGCTTGTAATTATCGTCAGTTATTTTATATTCTTGGGAAATTTTTTACAATTTAAACGCGCGTTCTTGCGCATACTTTTTAATTTGATATACATATTTAATTACATATTGTACAGTTGACAGATTTAATTTGATAAATTTTACAATCCAAAAGAGACGCGACATTTAAATAGATCCGGACTAATTGGGAAAGTGGTTGAACGTGACCTTTAGAACCTGCAGACCTTAGATTGCAAATCAAATATCATAATGATTAAAAGTACCATTAGGTAATCGCCAATTACACGTATCGTAATAATTAAAAATTTAATATGCGATATGCATTACATGGGAGCGCGTATCAGCTCCGATTAGGTCGATGGGAAAGAAGAAAAAAAGGGAATCTCGAGGAGAATCCAGGAAGTTGATTAAACGCATTCACTCGTTCGCTTACGAGGTAAAGCGCTTTCGTTTTACGACTTTTTCCAATTTCGCACGATAAAACGAGCGACTACGCGCGACGGAGCGCGAGGAAAGGCGCTAAGAATCGGAATCCGCAGAACGGTCGGGCAAACGAGAGAGGCGAATTAATGCCTTTCACCAGTGATACCGATCGTTAATACCTCTCGCCGTAACGCGAGTCCCCGTGGAGCGTCGCGAAGTTGTCTCGCGATCCACGAGTCTCGCGTAACGGGTACGCGCGTATAAGACGCGCGGTTCCGCGAAATCTCGGCCTGGCGATATCTACGGGCTACCTTGGGCTGCCTCGGGGGGCGTCGCGCAGATTAACTCCGGGTTATCGCGATCCTCGCTCCCGAGGCCGCAGCGAGTGGCGAATCGCTATCGCCGAGGCTGTCGCCCGATCCCATCGCGCGCTGATAAACGAATCGCGCGAAACGCGCAAATCGTAATTTGCAATTCGCCCGCTCGGGAATTTCTCCCTCTCGGGCATCGTCAGAGTTCAGGGATAGATTCGAGACGCAGAGATGCGGACTTGGACTCACCTATAGAGCTCGCTCCGGATCCGCTCCGCTCCGCAGACAGCCGTTCCGAAATCGCCGCGATAGCTCCCGCGATGCTCCGGCACTTGGCACATACACACATACACACGCACGGTACCCCGAGCGAAGAAAGGGGCACGACGGTCACGACGCGACGTGCGGAGCCGTCGACGATCGGAGGAACGCGCCGCCGCGACGGGGAACGAGGACGACGACGACGACGTCGGCGGGACGTCGCTCAGGACGTTCCCTCAGAAGGGCCGCGGCGAACGGTGCCGACGCGATTCCGCCGTGCAGTTCGTCACGGTCGATAGAGGTGCACGGACGAAAGCAAGCGCCATTTTATCCCGTGCACTCGCGGCAACGCGAAAGGTGGACGGACGGCGCGCGGTGCACCGCGCGGCGCGACGCGACGGAGGGAGAGCGTACGCGCTCCTCTCTCGCGCGCTGTCTCTCGCTCTCGCCACCTCCCCCCCCCTCTCTCTCTCTCTCTCTTTCTCTCCTTCACTCTCTCTCTCTCTCCCTCGCACGTCACCTCGTACCGACGCGAGTCGCGAATCGCTGCCGCCGTATACGTACGATCACCCGAAGAATTCACCTGAAGATAGTCAGCGAACGATTTACGAATTTTACGATAGCCCGCGACCCGCGACGTTCGACGCGCACACTGGATTATCACCACTTTCACACTGCGAAGTGAACCGGCGCGATGTTCACGGGACACCTTCGGAGCGTTCCTTACTCCGACCGAATTCCGACGAGAAAGGAAAACAGAAACTGTTATACCGTTCAACCGTTGTCCGTTTTGTTTATCGAGTCGCACTGCTCGGTGTTTCCTTTCCTCGCGCGACGCGTTCGATTCGTTCGGTCTCTCCTGCCCTGTCTCTCCGCTTTCTATCTCCCGGGTGTTTCTTTTCTTTTCTTTCTTTCTGTTTCTTTTTTCTTTTTTTGTTCAGTTTCTGTTCCGCGAGACGCGAACGTGGGAACGACGCCGACGCGGCCGCAACCGTCGTGCGCAGCGAGAGGACACGAACTGAACGCCGAGCGGCCGAGCGGCAGCGCCGAAGCGACGGAGGTTGCCCGGCTGGTTTCGCCGCGTACCGCTATTCGGCCGTCTTACACTAGCGCCACCATCCCGAGCTGCACCCTCGCCGCGCCGGCCATTTTCTCTTCTCCTCTCTCCGACTCTCCGGCGTGCTCCGGCGTGCTCCGACCGCCGACGTTCTCGCTTCTCGCGCTTTCCTCTCCCTGCCCCCTCCCCCGCGCATGCAATCGGCGCGGCGCGGCGGTTCGGCGTTCGGCCTCGGCGGCGAGCGCGCGCGACGCTGTCTCGGCCGGTGCGCGTCGCGACGCCCGATCTCTCTCGTCTCGCGCGTCGTCGTCGTCGGATCACGAGAGATCACGGCGAGCCGAGGGTTTGCCCGTTATTCGACAAGTACGTACGGAAAGGACGACGACGGCGACGGCGAACCGATTTCGCGAGATCGCGGAGAGAGCGGCGGCGAGGTCATTGATTTTTTGAGCCCGTCAAGTGTAATCCGCGCACATGCGCGCGCCAATGCCCGCGGCGTGACATCGGCCGCTCGGTCGTTCTCGGTCTCGCATTCATCCGGAATGTCCCAGGTCGAATATATCCCTCGCGCGCGCGAGACTCTTGACTTTCGCCGTCGGCACCCGCGATCGAGAGGCTGCCGCGCCGCGCGAAATCTGCTCGAGTTTCCGTTATCGCGGCACTACCGCGCCGAAATCGTTTCCCTCCTCCTGCTGCTCGATAACAGATCGATCCGAAAAACTTTTCTCGATTGATAATTGAATAGCTTGTTATTTGTTATATGTATATCGTATATCTTTATCATGCTAATTATTATTATATATGTTCGACAGCTTTGATAATTATCAAAGTACCTTTAGTTTAAATAAAAATAAATCTATAAAGTTTGATTTTAATTCCGATTCGAAAAAATGGATAGCGGATTAGTAAATATTGCGAGAAGTAATTCTTGAATTGTAATAAGAATGGATTAAGGATTGAAGAACGTTCGAGCTGCACCATTTCAGCCTGATTTCCAATCTCTCATTTCAAACGGCGGGAATTGCGTTCTATATTTAAATCGAGCGGCGAAAAAGCGCGGGGTTTGCATTCTTAACAAAAAATCGTAGGAAGGGCATCAAGCGCGACGATGTTATCGTCGGTCCCGCTTATCCGCATGATCTTGTCGACAGCATTATCGCCTTTATGGATTTTAGTTTACTTGATCGAAAAAAACGTCAAAAAAAGCGCGGCTTTTCTTATCGCTTTTTGAACGGACGGATTAGAACGTCACCCGTGTGAAAAATGAACCCACTTGACTTGACGCATAATGGGAACTATGGGAAGACACGAAATTTCGATCATCGAGGCTGTTTTTACCGTTCTCTCTCTCTCCCTCTCTCCCTTTCTCTTTCTCTCTCTCTCTCTCTCTTTCTCTCTAGCCGCAACTAAATTACAATTTTCGATAACAGAAAGATTAGCGATCTCCGTCAATCCGTATATTCGTCGGGCACGCCGGAAGCATTAAATTAGTTGCCATAATTGCGGCAGATACAGGGAAAATTGTAATCGTCGCGATACGAGTTATGGTTATTAGGGGCTCGTAAATGTTGGATAGTGATAGCTCGAGCGATCGATACAAGTGTCGAGAAAAGACATACGATAACTCGGGTAGAATCGCGAATGTTTGCGATTAATGATTGTTGCAAGACACACACTGTAGCGATTGATAACGCTCTGAGATAATCCGTGTAAAAAATCCTTCTGTTCCACGATAAAGTGCTTACTCGATCTTAAGTCGTTCTATTTTGTTTCAAATTGAATTGTCAGTAAATGGATAGGTTTAGCGAAAGATTAAAATGAAAAAATTAATGCGTTATACGTAGTACGTACCATTGATTATCATAATTTTTTGAAAATAAATTGATTGGATTATGCTATAAAATATGACTGAATGATTGAAATAAAAGACTTCTTTTTATTTTATTGCTTGTAATATGTATCTATAAATTGGAAGAATCTCTGAATATTGCTTTCTTGCATCATATAATATTTAATTCTGGAAGAAGATAAGGAGATCGTACATAGACCTCACACAAATTGTAATAGAAGAATATTGGGGAAAAAGATAGAAATAAAAAGAAAAAATAATACATCTAAATAGTAATTTCTCCCTACTATGTTCTAGATATTAATTTTTTTTATTTCTCATAAATACATATAACGCATGTCGATTTCCAATTTTTATCATTTACGAAATATACTATAGTGGATGTTAAATTAAATTTGAAAGTTTTTCTTTATATTTTAAAAATGTGTACTTATCACATATAATTGTTACAGTTTTATTTTACTTTTTTTTCTTTTTGTCTTTTATTTTTCTCGCTATTTATCTAAACAATTAAGTCAGAAAAATTATAATTCATTTGAGAGTAAAATCTCATAAATGACATTATTGATATTTTATTCTTTCACATTTTAAAATATCTTTCGTGAGAATCCTGAGAATGTTTGTACATTCTGTCGTTGAAATTGATTGAATGTAATTGTAATTCCCGTTATTTCGATTCGTATTTTAAATAGATAAACCGCGCGAAATGTATCTATTCTGATAAAGCCGTCGTCTCGACATTTACGAATCGTCACGGAAATTGATTAAACTTCGTGATCGCTGTACTTTGTATTCTTCTTAGGTCTTGTCGCAATTAAGTCCCGCGTGAAAATAACAACAGATTCATACCGTTGTCTGTCGCGCGCGGTTAGAATGCTAACACAGATCTTGTGTACACAGTTGAACGTCGTAAGCCATATCAACAAACCCTGAGCGTTTTATGTCAACAAATTTGTTTCTACTAAGAAAAACGTAAACGCGTACTACGAAATAAACGCTGAATATTTTATTCCTTGCAAATAAATCTTTAAAAAGACACGTAAGACAAATACTCGATCGCGTCTAATTACTTCTTTTCCATGATGCATGTCATCTCGATCTACATGTTGTAGGTTTACTTCATACGGTGGACAATGTATTTTAACAGTTTTGTATAAATGGGTTAACAGCACGCAAGTTTATCAATAGATGTTAATGAGCGTTAAGAATTAATACCCATTAATCATTTACTATTTTAATTTTCGTGAAATCTATCCTAAAAGATTTATTATACTTTTTTAAAATCTGTTAATTTTTTTAAATTTAATTATACGTAATTAATTTATCTCAGAATGATAAAAGAGATAAAAGAAAAAATAACAAGAGGTAAATTAATTTTCGTAAACGCTTTTCCGATTAAGAGGGAGGGGGGCTCATTAGTGTCGACAGATACGCAATTAGCGTCGGATACGTTTTTCCGTGACTTCAATTTCGAAAATTGGACCCACGGAAATTATACCGGTTTCGACCCGGCGCGTCGTAAGCTACCCACTCTTCTTTCGTTAGCTAAGGCGAGGAGAGATAATCGTTGGTGATCGATCGAGATTCGGTTCTCTCTCTATTGCTCCTCTATCCCGTGCGGTTGCGGCCGCGGTTGTGCTGGCGCGTCGACGTCGGTGAGGACGGCGAGTAGACGGACGGCTATTTCCGCATGACATCACACCGCCCGCATTTAGGGAGCACACCACGATTTTCTATTTTCTCGACGGCTCGACATTGGTGGCCCGCAAAAGGCCGGCCCCACCGAGATGCGTCCCGATCAGTTTTTATTGCCCCCTTCCCGCTCACCCTGCCCTCACGACTTCCTCTCGGCGACACGCACCACGCACCACGCATCGCGTTCGCCGCTCGGAGCGATGTTCCTTCCCATTCCGTGTCTTCCTCCTTCTCGGAAGTCTATAATCATTTACTGCTGTTAGGAAATTCCTAATTTAGTGCTGCATGAGATTGCGGGTTTTTAGTTACACGACGATAACGATTAAGCGTTGGATTAGATTCGGTTAAATTGGCATCGTTATTCATTTTTATTGTCCCACCTGTGACATCCTTTCTTTTTTCTCTAATTCTTTTTCTCCGTTTCTGTCATCGGCTCATATTTTATATGAAATAACGTGCTGCCCAAAAAGGATCGCGTTTCTAGAACGTGACGAATTACGCTATTTCTCCTTCTATCTTACAATCAGATCTACAAATCAAAGGTGTTAATTTCGGATTAATTTCGGAATCGCCCGCGACTCTTCCGCAATTGGGCAAGTATTCTGCATGACGGACGGCGATGAAGAACGTGAAACTGTTATGAGTAGGCTTGTCCCGTTAACGCGCCGGTGATCTAATCTCGAGCAACGTCCAGCGACTCGCCTAATCGAGAAATAATTATACGAATTTGTCGAGACGACCGCGCGCCGTCGCCGTCGCCGTCGCCGTCGCCTTCAACTCGCCGAGGAGGATTCGTGCGCGTCCGCGCGTCGTCGTCGTGTTGCTTCTTCAAGTTTTTTCTACGCATCGGCCGGAACAATGGAATCGACATCGAGACAAAGGAGCTGCTCTACTCTCTTTCGTCTGGTTTCCTTCGGTACCGTTCGACCGGCGCTAACTCGGTTAGCCATTCGTTAGCGATATTAGAAAAGATCGCGCAAAAATAAGCTGCGCTTCAAACGGGCCGCTTGATTCGCCGGTGAAACCCGCTCGAGACTGCTCGAGACCGCAATTAGCTTAGGAAAGCGAATGAATATTAAAATGGAAACCACTCGCGTGAACCGCACTGCGTCGAAAATGTGTAAATATAGACCACATCTGTGCTTTTCTACAAATTGCACGCAATATATGTATAATTCAACTTGACTCGTCTAAAATCAGCGATTGATTATACATGGAAAGTGAATGTTATTTTTAGAAAATTTTAAGTTGACGGGTTCTCTGGAGCGCTTCGTGTACGCGCTAATGTCAAATCGAGTTACTTATATTATTACTTATATCGCAGCTGCCTATAAGGAGCCGGGAAAATTCTCGATAGCCGGCGTAATTTATTAAGTTGAATCGCGTCGAAGCGAGTCTATTCGCGTGCAGTTTCTCTCTTATTAATCTCCGTCGTTTACACCTTGGAATTCAGCGATCGAGCGGAGCCGATTGCTCAACCCGCGCGTATATACCCGAGTCGCGATGCCGGCCATCCGAGACGATCTATCGGCCGACGCGTTTCCCTCTCGATATAGACCCCAAGATCCAATCCGCGGACCGCGGAAGAGGATTTCTGCGCGAACGATTCCGTAACGACCGATTACGCCCCGTTCGGCATCCGTCGGCTCCCTTACGCGTTGTAATCCCCATTCATCGCTCATCGTTACAACATCGGCCGGACGGGCATCTCTTATGCAGGGAACAAGGCATCGTCGAGAAACCGTCGGGCTTTGCGAAATCTGCAGGCGCGTTCTTTCGGATTTTTCATACATTCTTGTAAAATACGAAAATATGATATATACAAATATATAACCGTCAATCCAATTATATTCCCTAACAGCACATATGTGGATTTTGAGAATGTTTCGGAGGATACAGCAAAGTAAAAAAATATTATAGGCACGTTCTCAGTAAGTTAGGTTATTCTCAGCACATTCATGATATTATTGCTGCTAGAAATTGGATTATCTCAATAAATAATGTACATACAATATAAAAGGGTATAAAAGGGAATTTGATTTAGTCTTTCAAAACCGAAAGACTTTTTATTGCCAAGAGATTGGAAATTTAAGATTAAGAAGAAGAGTTATAAACAATAATGGAAAATATATTTTAGATTGAAATTAAAATGTCAAATTTTTGGTTTTATTTCAAAAGTATCTTTAAAAAAATCATTATTATACCTACTTATGGGATAATCCAATATAAACATTTAAACGTTACGATTTTATCATTTACTTTCAACTGGCCGTTTGTCGGATAATATTTCTCAGATTTTACTCACAACATCGTTTTTTTTTAAAACTCACACTGTTAAATTCATAGCGTCAAATTATACTGAAATTGAGTCATTAACCATTCCTATAGGTCGCCACTGCTGCTAATCAATGTCGTTAATTCAACTAAAACAATGTTAATTTAACTCAATCAATGAAGTTAAAATAATACGGTTTTGTGTTAAAATAATAAATTTCGACACACACACGATAATTAGAAATAACAAATAAATGTTATTTACCTCAAAGTATCGATTTGAATTTCATCTTTTAATATTTAACAGAGTGCATACTTTGAAGTTTGGAAGTTTCTCTCGATATCTGTCATTATTATGCACACGTTTCTACGATTATAATCTACGTTTCCACAAAGAGTAATATCGCAATCGGGATGTTTTCTTTTCGCTCTTGTTCCCTGGTTTATTCATGCGTCCCTAATAGCTCGTGGCGTTGCGCAGCGACTGCGATTTTCTACGCGAGTCACGGCCGATAGGTGATTTTTGCGTGTTACTCTCTTATCTAAGAGATCGAGCGCAGTTCGAGAGGACAACGACGGGGACCGATCGGCGGAGCCTTGACTCGAACGAGGGAGCGATCGGTCGGTCGATCGATTGATTTTTTCGTCACGGCGTCTGGTTGCACCGCTACTGCCCGTTGCAGGTGGAAGCGACTCTTTGCTCTGACCCGGAGGCTTCTCAGAAATTCTCTCCAGTCATCGAGACGAATTCCACCGAAATGCGGGACGGACGATTAATGGAACTTTATACGTTCCTTAAAATCTCCGCCGCGTCACAGATTAATTTGTGTTTTTTTTCCCCCTCGCTCTCTACGTCGGCCTCGTCGACGAAATCGAACCGTGTCATCGTGCTTTAATCATTCGACGTGAGGTTCGCGCGGGTAAAAGCGTCATAAAACTTTTCCTCTTTTTTCGGAGAGCGAGAAAATAACAAGTGGACCTTACCACGTGGAGACACGCTCGGATTGGAGCATAATCTCGCAATTTAGACGCATGCTGCCCGTTTAAATCGCGCATCGTGACCGTTGATTATTCGAGAAACAGCTGGAGATGATATTTCGTAGTTCGGAGCACATCGATGCCTGTCGAATAGCAACAATAATACAATGACGATAAATAATAATCAATAATGTACCAGTAATGCGATTTTTCGAGTAACCAAACGGCCACGATGGCATATGCCCCGCATACACACACGCAAATTCATTACGCTAATTTACGACTTGCACGCGCGCGACGAAATACGGTACAGCGAAGCGACTCCGCTCGCAGGCTCTCGGGTTGTAAAACCCAAAGAGAGAGCGACGCGGCGTCTCCCGTGGGAGACGAAAGGACGGAAAAGGGACACATCGACGTAGGGCGGGTATATAAGCGGGCGTATGGCGGAAAATAAAAACGAGACGGCGTTACACGTGGACCACTCGCGCTCGGGGTCATAAAAAATCCGAAGCGCAGGCAGGCAGGTATAAACCGACCGATCTACAAGTCCGCTCGCGCGCGGCCGATCCTAATCTCGCGCTGCTTATGGGCCGCACGGAGGGGGACTCCATGCTCGGAAAACCAAAAAGATAAACGATAAACGAGGAGAAGAATCGGGGGCCGCTAAATTGCCGGGATTCATTAGAAAATCGCCGGTATGCGGTGCGTCACGCATCCAGGATGGAAAGGGGGGAAGTAGCGGCGATTGGTGGGATATTAGAGCCTCGGAGGAATTTCGAGTATACACGGCGTCGCCCGCGGCGTTGAGATTTCTCAACCCTCTCGTTCTTCCTTCCCGGCTCGCTCGTTCGGCTCCGGCCCGTGAGAATTCGCGGCGAATTCGGAGATCACGTCGGCTGCGATGATGGAAGATTTCCTTCGATGTTCTCCTCGCGTTTTGAACGTTGAAGGTCGTTCATTTCCTCCGCTACCATTTTTAGACGCCTATCATAAACGTCGCGCTACTTGGTGCTTCGTTGTTGATTCATGTTTTACACCGACGTTTTTATTCCCGTCGGTTTTATTCTACGAGAAGCATATTCGTCGCGGACGGCTAAAAAAGAGGCGGGAAACGTCACTCCGCCATACGAGGTAATTAATAGACAAGAGTTCGGCTCGTTCGCTCGCCCATAAACCGCGGCAGAAGGCCGCGAGAGAGATAGAGAATGAACGACACATAAATTTCATGTTGTGTACACGCACCCCCGGCCGAGGATTTCGTGAATCTCGTGACGCTGTTGCGCGGCTCGAGTTAATGATCTCCGTAATTGAATAAATGCGAAAGACGATTAGTCGCGGCGTCGAGACGCGCTCTAATGAGCCGCCGTTTAAATCACCGCGCTCGACTTACTACAAATTTAATCTAGAGTTAATCGGCATTTAATGTAAATATTCGCCTCGCGTAACTAACAGACTTACGTTTCCCATCAGTCGCACCCATCAGACGCTCGATTTAGCCTCGCGTTAATTCCGCAATATTCGGCACTTCCGTCCGTCCGCGGTTTAATGAAATTCATCAGAATACGGTGACGGGGGGGCACGTACACCGAGAGACGCAGTCGCGCAACTTTTGTTTTTGTCAGTGTTTCGTACTAATCAGAGTTTATTGCACTTAACTCAAAACGAATATTGTATATCTCCTTGTCGTACAACTATGACGGACAAAACGGGTACACGTAAAAACGAACGCAAGGAATTGTAAGTTGGGGGAACAACAAAAAAACCGAAATGTTGCAGCATTGTATGTTAGAAAGTAATATCGTCGTCACGGCTTTATTTTGTCTTGAATCTCGCTTTCTTTGCCGCTACCACGGCGTTGGGTAACTTTGGATTAGACTGATTTTTGTGTTTCTTGCTTTCAATGTGCTGAGCGAACGTGTTCTCCGTGTTTAACGATACATTGCACGGTGCGCAGTAATACTGCCCTGCAAAGCGAAAAATCATTCATTGTACCATAGCGACATTGCGTGATGTTTCTTTTTTAATCATTATATAATGTGTAACGATTTCTTACCCGATGGTGTCCGATAAATAGAATAATCTATAGGTTCCGAGGCGTTCTCGTTTTCGGCAGCTAAAACAAAACACAAATCAGTCAATTAAAACGACACACACGCATACATATCGTGTTTATCTTGTTGACTAATACTACCGGGTTCAGAGAGTCCGTTGAGCTTGAGCATTCTCAAATGTCGAGCTCCGCGTTTATGCGTCTCCAACTGATCCTGACGATTGGCCGAGACTCCGCACAAGTCGCAGCGATACGGCGTAGGATGTGGTGGTGGCGTGTACATGGATGGTACCGCAGCTGGACTAGGCACCGCGGTTATGCCGTCAGGTACAATCGGTGTCATGGCCGGGGCAGATTGCGCGTCCGTCTGGAAGGCCATTCCAATTCCGAAGCGGCCCGTCGAGTCCACCTGATTGTACTGATTCTGAGTTGACAGCTTCTTCGATGGTCTGCGAGTCGCAACAATTTCGTTATTATCACAAACGTAGCCGAACTCGATCGTTAAATTTGTTACGCGCGCTGAATCGTTAAAATAAATTAATGATTAAGTTATCGAATCGTTAACGCAATTATTATTAGACAACTCGAATGCAGATTCATACCTTGCCCGACACCCGCCGTTTGCCGCCCTAATGTGCTTTTTGCCCGCGTAGTGTTGCGTGGCGTCTGTTTGCGACGTAAACCACGTTTTGCATATCTAGCAATGTAGATCGTATGCGAAGTACATTAATATGCAATTTATGTATGTAAATACATAACTGTAGGCAAAACATTGTAGGCCTCTTACATCACAGTAGTTTTGCCAGTCGTTATTGGTCGTACTGCTCACTTGCCCATCTTCCGTTTTCTGTTTTTTAACGCTCTGATTGAGAAACATCGATACTTTTTTCTGATGCGGCTTGCCGTCATAGTGCAATTTCGCTTGCAACGTGGAATTCATCTGCAAAGTACGATATCGCTTCGTCGATATACGGTGCTCATAATTACTTGAACGTGAGATCTACAGTTGCAGAGTTATTCTCGGCATAAAACTAAATTTAAACGGAGAAAAGTTTCTAATTATCCGATTACGATTAACCGGGCCTTACGACTGCATTGCACAGATCACATTTGAGCGGGTTCATCAGCTCCGACAGTTCCCTCTGCGCACTCGCCACTTTCTCTGAGGAATAAACATAGAAATAAATATTTATATACTATTAACAGTTTGCTTTCCATTAATTCCAATTTTTAAATACATCACGCATACTCTCAGAATATATTTTTAAACCCTATATCCCCTAATTACCCGCATCCTGTGCCGGATCGATAAACTCGTTTTTGCGTTTGTAAAAGTTCTTGCTCTTGTTCTTTCCCATGGCCGGGGTCGCTGCGGGAGACGCTACCGGCGCGGTACCACCTGCACCCTTGTAAGCCGGACTGTACCATTGAGCATAAAGCTCCGAAGTATCGTTATCGGTGGGTATCCACCAGGGGGTCGGGGTTGGCGTTTGTCCGGGAGTTTGCGGTTGCATCGTCGAATGCAGCATGTACGGACTCGGTGGCACGGCGGGCACCGAATTCGGGAACGTGCCCAGGGTCGGAGAAACCCCATCGGTCGCGATCGCCACCGGTGCCGTCGCGACGGTCATCACGTTCTCGCTCGTTGTCGACGGTCGTTGCTGTTGCGTCGTTGTCGGATGTGCATTGCCGTTCGAGGATTTGTTCGCCGAAGACGAAAACGATGGCGGCGGCGGTGGCGGTGGAGGCGGTGGTGGCGGCGGCGGCGGTGGCGGGGGCGGTGGCAGAAAGCACTCGAGTCCTGTTGCGAGAGAATGCAGATAAAAAAAAGTTCTAAGTCATCCCTGCGCTCTCGCACGAAAGCGAGAAAAAAAGAATCTTCGACCGGAACAGAGAGCGGTACCATATTTTTCTCGTTTCAAGACACGTAGGAATTTATAAAAGTCGAAACTTATAAATCATGCGACATCCCGCGGTTTTACTGCGGTAATCTTTCACATCATTGTCATTCTATTGTGAGAGGACGCTTTTCGGATCTGTAACATGGCGAGATAATTATGGAGCGATACACGTTTCCGTGCCCCTGTATTATTTATATTTTTTTATGCCAATTTATACCGTTTTTTTAATATAGATCTTAACGGTAAAGTGTAGCAGTTGACGAACAAAGGGCGGAAGAAGAGCATCTTTAACTTTCGTCAAGAGTGTCGGACAAGTTTATTAGCGCACTCGGACTTACAACAGTGCATTATTTTTACCGACGTGGTCGGTACCGATTCGCCGCGGCCTACGAGATTTACGATCGCGATAATGAGCGCGTTCAGCAGACCAAGCCGCTGAGTAGCAGTCGAGTGTGATTGGCTCTTGCTTTTAGAACCAACCACGCAACGCAGAGTGTTGATAAGACGAACTCAACAGTTGTGTCTGCTGAACGCGGCCAATGATCGCGGACCGGGCGAGATGATTCGCTTTCGGCGAGAAACGCGTACAGATAAGTCGAGTGGCGCCGCTAAAACGCAGATGCCTATCGCGCTCCTTATAATTTACAGGGGAATCGTATTTAATTGCACGCGCGCGCAATATATAGATACGTAACGTTAATTCGCGCGGGGCCGGCTGATACAAGACACGCGACATCGCGCGATAGTACATCTCGCGCCCAGGCAGCGATACATATTTAGCTTATCACACGTCTGCGCCGGCCGCCGCAGCACTGACGTAATTTATTTCAGCACCCGTCACGCGTAGCCGCTATCTTCGATATTACTTATACGATATCGTGCTAGTTACATAATCGATACACAAATGACGACGGACGAAAAATGCCGCTTGAGCGTATTTTTGGAACAATTCAATTTCAGGGAATCTACGTGTTCTTATTTGTTCAGAACTATTTCGTATACCCAGCTAGCAAAAAGTTCTGAAAGACGAAATAATTTTTCAGTCCTTTAGATGGTTTTTAAACGTTTTTAACATGTCTTTTATATTGAAGTATGTGTTGGCTGGGTAATTTTAAAAGAGGCTGAATTTTATTGGTAAACGTTTCGGAACATTATTACAACTCACGTTAACTTGAAATGTCAGATATTATCGTGATCGCGAACAGAAATTCGTTTCTGTTTTACATGGACATGTTTACATTCGATTATCCCCAGTTTCTTGGTATTTTTTAACCAAAAACGTGCTCCGGAAATATCGGCCGATCGGCCCTTGATTACCCTTTTTGCGAGATCGACATAAACGTCGTAAGCGCGTCTTAAAAACTCTAACAAAACAGAAAATCAAACAGTAGATTAAATCCATAATGTAACGTCATTACGGTCATTACGGACTCGCACGACTGACGCACGTATGTGCGTTGCGTGACTCTTTGACGTACGCTGCTCGCAATTTACTCGTCATGTATACACACACATGATAATCGTCTCGTCCGGCGAGTCACGATCCGGCAGCTACGGAGCTTCAAATAATCCCAATTACCGGATCGCGCGCTAATTGAGACAATCTTCCGGGACCGCGAGACGCGTCCCGGGGAACTGCATCTTTTTCTTTTTTTATTCTTGCCATCGGTTTCGCGCTGTCGTTATTGCGAGTTGAATGGATTCCCCGTCGCAGCGAGGGGAAGGGTATAAAGGCTCGTCCCGGGGATGACGGACGACTCACCCGGCACTTCTGGATTCTCTATGATCTTGGCCCTGGACATTTTCCCTTTCGTTTTGCGGTGACTACTCAAACGACTGTCGTTTCCGTCGGGCGCAGATCGGCGGGAGATCTTCGATCTTCGCCGAGGCTCACGTGGACGGCGAAATTCCGCGCAGCGTATACGTCGTCCCCGTCGTCCTCGGTGTCCTCCTCGCCGACGTCGTCGTCGTTCCCGCGATCGTCGTTCTCGTCGTCCCGCACCCGTCGGCACCGCTTCGCGTCACGTAACGACGCGTAACGTCGCGCCGCGGCACGCACGTCGTCGGCATCGACTGTCGCTTGTCAGTCCGAGTCGAGTGTCGGAGAGCGAAAAGTTTTGGTTGAGGTTAATTGAGGTGAGTTTGACACTAGCCGCGAGCCGCAGCGAGCCGACGACATTACGCGAACGTGATATTGACCCGCGGCGCAAGATGGCTGCACGCACCATGTACACCGCTCGACCGCTGTTGCCGTCGCATGCAGTCGTGGCCGTCGTGGGGAAGATTCGATTCCGTTCGCGCGACTGACCGTCGGCCGTCGGCGAGGAGTCCCGTCAAGTCCCGTCGCGAAGATGGAGGGCGAGATGGAAGGCGACGAGCTGCCGGAGCTGCTCCAGTGCCTCGAGGAGAAGATCGCCAGCGGCCACAGCATGGTCGAGCGGTTGAAGCTCATGGACAAGATCGACGGGATTGACAAACTGATACGGAAGATTCAGCAGGAGATAAAATTCTTGGAAAAGGTAAGACTAATTAAATTTTGATGTAGACAATAAGGTGGAATATACATCTCGAACGCATCTATTGTGATCTGGAAAAATGAGCGAAAGTTTTAGTTTATTCTACTCCATCTGGTAAAATTATTTCTTTAGCATTCAAGTCGAATTTAGCAGATTTATAACTTGATACTTTTCTTACAAAGGTGCAGTATACGGGAAACTTGAAGAAGAAACACCTTCAGAGCTCGAATCTGACTCACCTCGACGCTATGGTGGCTCGACTGTCCTGCGCAAAGGATCCTGTCAACGTGATGAGACCTTTCAAGTATCAGAAGTCCCGTCTGGAGGTTGACATGGTGTGCAATAGCGGCGCTTCGTGGGTGAAGGTTATAGCGAGGAATGCTAGAGCGTTAACTCTGATATCTCTGGGCAATGGAGAATACGGACAGAAATCTGTCCTGGACCAAGCCAATTCGTATCTTGTATGTAGCAAGTGCCATCTGCATCACTACAGGCCACCAGATGTGATATTTCACTTTGCTTACGGCATAGAGGTTCCGCTAGCCTTGCAATTGGAGCAAATGGGCATCATCGTGGAGGGAGATAGGATAGATTCGAATGACGAGAACTTAAACAGTCAGTATAATTTATCTCTGATACATATTTAAAGAAATTCAGTTATATCATGTGGAAAATAATATAACTCGATGTATACTTATTGTTCTGTTTATTTTTTGGAGGTAGAACAAGATGAACTGGATTTCTCCAAAGACTCTACAAGCGATTCCGAAAAGGATTTGAATGTGGACCTGCAGTCGTTAAATACATCTGTACTGTCAACCGAAATAAGACTTCTGAATCTGGATGTATCGGCCCTACTGGCTTACGTTACGAACATGGCTAATGGATATAATAATTACGTTTATCGAGAGCCGTTACTTACCCAGCAAGCAGAAATGGAAAGAAAACGTCCCATAAAACCAATCTTAGAAAATCTGTTCCGAGACAAGGAACTTATGGTCTGCCAGACGGCACATAATAATTTTATGAATATCATCGATGTTATCGGTGGTCCGAAAGAGACGCAGCGGGCGCACGAATTGTTAAAGAAAGTGCGAATTGTTGACGACGTGACCACTGGACGAATTATGGAGCTGCGCTTAGGCGGTAAAATTAAAGATCGATCGCGATTGATTTTTGCAACAGGTGAAAGTATGAAAAGCATCACCGTTTCTGCTAATGAAGGATTTGTAAGAGCAGCGCGTATGCAGGTAAATATATATTTATTATATAAGATTGCTTTGCAGTTCTGAATTGATGTTATATAGATATTGCGTTTCTTTTTCAGGGCATTGAGTGTACAGTTTTCTTACATGAACCAAGATCTCTGTCAGAAATTAAAGAAGGTAATGCAACAAGTATAGAACAATCTTGATATTATTCAGAATACTTAGGCATTACAATGAAAATTACGCTGAAAATCACAATGAAATATATACTGGTACTAAGCATTTATCTATTGTTAATTTATTAACCGTAATTTATTATATAATTTATATATATATTATACAAAATAATGTTTATGTATAATCTCTCTGGAAAAAGAAGTTACTGTATTTCATCGTCATTGACTGCCTGAACGTTAAACTGAAGCTTTATATTTTCCTGAAATTCTGTAAAACGTAAAATAAATTGTTATTGCATAAACGCGATGTGTAAAATCTCTCTTTCTCTCAAAAATGTTTTAAAATATTCGACCATACCATCGATAAATTTGTTGAAATGTGGATTTCTTTCTTTGGCCATCTGTATATATTCTTTACTCTTCTCCCTGTTTCTGAGATGCATGTAACACTTAGCGCTATTCAAAAGAGCTTTTAAATTTGAGTCATTTAGTTTTAATGCCCACTCGTAGTCGTGCAAGGCTTTTTCGAATAATCCGAGGTGCGTATACGATAATGCACGATTATTCCACAATACGGAGGAATCCTTACGTTGTTCTAACGCTTTACTGTAATAAGTCACGGCCTTCTCGTAATCGGCTTCTTTAAATGCACCGTTTGCAATTCTTTTCAACGTTTCCGCTCGTTCGTTTCTAATTTTGCGATCTTCAGCTCGTTTTTTAGCATCGTCTTCCACGCTCTTCATGAACATCTCTGTACATATAAATCGTGTCAATTTATAATTTATCGCTTCGCGTCAAATAGATAAAACAGTAGCGTAATATATGAATAAATGAACAATCTACCTCGCGACATTTTGTTCGGATCATTGGAAGAGTCATATTTCTTTGACGGATATTTATTAATTACTGACCGATCGGTTTTAATTTTTACCTCTCCGTCTTCATAGATTTCTTTCTGAACACCTTTCTCTAAGATCTCATCGGCTAACTTTTTCCCACATTCTTGCTCCTTTTGGTCGGAAGATGCCAACTTCTTCACGATTTTCTCTGAACGAAGAATTTTATTGACAGATGTAAATTTGCATTTACATTTGCATCTCGATTTGCATGCAGTATAATCGAATGCTATACCTACCTACTTCAGTAACGCGATGCATGAAATTTTGAAACTCTTCTTCGGTTATATTTCTATCAGAGTTTAAGTTATTAATAATATGACGTGCTTGTTCTACTTCATCACAACTTACTTTATTCTTTATATCCATGTTCATTTTTTATGTAAAATCGTAGGAACAATTGCAAAAACTTATCTATAAGGATACGCGTCAAGTTTGCTTCCAAGGAAACCGCTATACAATCGAGTTGCTATGGTTTCTTACGCTATATATCTACTGTATGCGTATATATAATTGATACATATTAATTAAAATGTCGCATAAATAAGACGCATATTAAACAATAATATTAATCGTACAGCTAGATTTTAAAATAAGTTACGATTTACACAGCTTTATTGTAAAACAGCAAGCTGATGTAACACAAAAATGAGGAAATGATGAGCAGTTAATAAACAGTTTGGAACCTCGAATGTTACGTATATGAATATCAAAGTTTAATAAGTGAGCGAAATTTATATACACTTATTTATCGATTTATGAAAAATCTTAGTCACATTAACCATTTGAATCTTTTCTAGGAGGGAATTCCGTATGTGGATGAGTGTTTTTATTTAACGGATGGACCAATATCTGAGAAAAGAACTGTTGCATGGTCTTGCTGCTTTCCGAGTTCTCATTGTCAATTTCGTCAACTTCCAGAGGATCCATGTCAACGTCTTCTTCCATGTCCGAAGATATATCGATTTCGTCCTTTATGTAAACCGCATTTAAACTGTTATCTTCACTGCTGGATTGGTGCCTCTTAACTTTTCTCCTGTCTAGCGGCTCATTTAGTCTATTCTCTGGTACAGAAGTGGGTGGCTTTCCCGCTGTGATCTCTACTTCGTCCATGATGCAACGCACTTTCTTGAAGGATAGAGGCTTGCTCGTTATCGTAGACAGGACACTCTGCCAACTGATCTCAGGCTGCGTCGGTAATTCCTTTCTTCTTTCTTTTCGCTGCATCGGGGACGGCATTCTCCGCACTCCTCTACTTGTACTTGGCTCGTTAATGTCTATAATACTGATGCCGGAGTTGCTGGTCTCTAGCCGTTGACATAGCTCGTTTATGTTGATCTCCTCATTCTTGGACGTTTCCTGAGGGACTTTGGCTGTCGTTTTGTAAAGATTCGCCTTGGTCATAAGCCTCGTCTGCATAGTTGGCTTACTCTGCGTTTTCGTGGCCGTTTCGTGCTCCGAGCCGACGGCGACGTTCCTACCGGACGAGTTCCTGGTTTCCTCCAGTCGCAATCGCGACACCGTCGTCTTCTTCGACGCGTCGTAGTGCTCCTTGTTGTTGGAGCCGTCGGGCAGCAACGAGATCGGGATGTGCCGTAGCCCGGTGACCTCGAGGATCTCGGCGAGCTTGAGCAGTCGCTTAACCTCGCTCTGGACCACCTGTATCTCGCCGCAGTACATAAAGTTGACGAGCGTCTTGAGATCGTCGGCCTCGATGTCGTGCAGGACGATCATCGGATGCGGATGGTCGTTGGCCAGGAGCAGACGACGGAAGAAGGAGCTGGAGTTGGCCAGGACCATCTTGTGACACTTGAGGATCGTGCCGTCCTTGCACACCAGGGAGAGATCGACGAACTGCTGTTTTTCGTAACAGGTATCGAGCGAGCCGACCATGTGCGTCGGGAAGCTCTGCCACCTGAAGCTCAACACGGAATCCTCCTTCATCGTGAACGCTTTTAAGTCAACACCTCGAGTCAGGGAACACGCGATCGGGCGGACGCGGGGTACTCGGCTAGCCGCTAGCGGCTAGCGGCGTCTTCTAACAACACCACTCGCCATGACACCACGTGCTGCTGTTGTCGTCGTCACGAAGCCATCCGATGCAATCCGATGATGAGATGACAGGGATAGAGCTATAGAGCTATAGAGCATGGAGCTGATCAAGGGGCAAATTTTTACGGCGGGATTTACCGTGCGCACGCGCGGCACGCGTGAGGACGTCACCCACGCGATCACGTGATAGACTCCTCCGTGGATTCGATTCCTTCATTTTCCATAAATTCGTATTTATCCGTATATCTGTATCGTAGAACTAAAGAATCGTGTCTACATTGTTATAAAAATTTGGAGAAAACAGGGTTTAAATTTTTAAATAAGGAAATGACGTATTTTTTTAAGACACAATAAAAGTAGCAAAATGTTGACGTTGTTCCTGGTGAAAATATTTTCTCAGTTTTCTAAGAATTTCTCATATTTTAGATTTATGAACAATTCTGAAAAAAATATGTCAAATTTCTCAGATACTTTCAGAAATAATTAGATGAGGATTTTTGGAATATTTCAGTATCTATGTGTATGAAAAATTCGATTCTCAAAGTTGACTTTTTCCTCGTTACTCGTCAATCTTCGTTTTGAAATTCCCGCAAAACTCGGAGTCGGCGTGCTCGGCCTGCTCAGCCTCTGCGAGATATCGGAGAGTCGAGAATCGCGAGATCTCGAGCGCGTCGGCGTCGGAGTCGGAGGCGACTCGCGAGAGTCACGAGTCGCGACGGCGACTTCTCGACGGTCCAATTGGCTTCGATAATTGCAAATGGTCGTTTAATAACAGATGATTGAACGCGTACCGCGGCGCGCGGCGTGGCATTTATCTGTCAAAAGCGGTGGCGGCCGGCCGACGAGCGTTGTGATGCGCCGGCGGCTGACGCGCGTTCGTTGAGCGTTGAACCGGCGAGGCGCGGACCCCCGTTGTGGGCGACTCTCCGTTTTTTCCCGGCTCGGCGACGACCGCGACGGCGGGAGCGACGGGACCGACGACGACGACGACGACGACACACGGCGGCGACGACGACGACGCGGCGGGAGCGAGAGAGCGACAGAGAGGGCGAAACGCGCGAGCGCGAGCGTGCGGTGCGGTGCGGGCGACCTTTGAAATACCCGACGCGTACGTTTATTATTATGTGATCGCGGTTGACGCGCGCGGGTTGACGGCACGAGAAGGTAGACGAGTGGACGACGGGAAGGAAGCCGACGAGGGAAAGATGCGGAGCAGCGACGTTTTCTGCTATCTCATCGTGGCGAGTCTCGCCGTTCTGTCGACGCTCGGTCGCGCAGGTGAGTGCACACGTTGGATTTATTCTCGCGTATATACATATACATGGTGAAGAGAAAGAGAGTGAGCGAAAGAGAGAGAGAGAGAGAGAGAGAGGGAAAGAAAGAGTGTCGTGCCAGGCCCGCTGTCTGGCTGGTAAATTAAAGCCGGAGCGGCCGCGAAATTGGTTCGTCCGAGCGAGCCGCCGTAGTTACCCCAGCTTAGCTACAATGGTCTTCTTCCGCTCTTTCTCTCTCCCTCTCTGTCTTTCTTTCACCGTGCCTCGCCGTCGCCTCCGTCTCCGTCGTTCCTTCTCGAAATCACGGGCCTGAGAGACGGAGGAGCACCCTCGGCTGCTCCTACGCGGAATCGACCCAGAACCCAGAATCCAGAACCCGTAACACGTGTGACGCTCCCGTACCCTCTCGTTTTCTTACGTTTCCGGCGGTTCTGTGTCGAAAACGAAGCGTTTTTCCCGGCGAGAAACATCAATAGCTAACGTGTCTTATTATTTTTTATTATACATAATTACGTGTGGACACGTCTTTAATGCGTTTCGCGGAATTGCAGGAAGTGATAAACGGCGATAATTTTGCAATATCGCGGTTTACAATCTGTCGACGGTACGCGCGATATGATAAAAATGCAAGTAATTGGCGAGACAATGCAGCGCTGCCGAGGACTGTGTTTAAAAAATATCGAGCTGCTCCAAGAGAAAAAGAAAATGGAGCTCCGGTATTAATGCACTGAGAAAAACTTGACTAAATGCGTTCAACGGATTACTTTTTTTTTTAAATTGAAATATTTAAGTATTTAAGTCATGTTAGATTTAATCTGTCGTATAAGTATTTAATTTAAATACTTAAATATTTTGGTAAAAAAAATAGTAATCAGTTGAACGCATTTAGTCAAGTTAACATTTTCTTTTCTCAGCGTGGAAATTTCGTCCGCGCGTTTTCTGTCCACGCAAAACAATTCGTCGAATTTCGCAGATAAATGTACAATCGAAGTCGAATATTCGATCAACAGAGAACGAATATCTCGCTTTGTTTGTATCGTTCTCTGTTGATCGAATATCGAATAAATATACGTCTCGACCTCGACCTCCGTTGCAGCATCTTTCTTCGCATCGCGCTCGCTGATTTATCGTCTATTGCATTTTTACGTTGCGTTCAGTCTTCAAGTCTATTACGAGGGCTCCGTGTTTTTTCCCCCGATAATTACGACGTCGAAGCGTGCGCGAGGAACTCATTTGCGATAACATTACCGTCTTCTTAAGGATATGTTTTTTATCTCGCCACGCATTTTCGCATCTGTACGTCCATGTGCTCTCCCCATTATTTTTTTATTGCATAATCGTCGATAGCTTTGGGGTAGAAATCGGACCGTGACGCAATTAGTGCCGCGTCAGTTTATTATACGTCGATATTGAATTGCATGCTTTTTTCATTCCTAATTAATGTGTGCTGGATATTTTTATCTCGTGTGCATTTTATGTCACGCAAATGACACGTACAATGATACATTTATCTTGCGTTTCGTATCATCGTTTTTTTCATGAAAATTTCTGCTTTTTGGCGAATTGGCTTTGTGCCTTTTTTGTTCCGTTTCTGCCAACGTTTTTTTTTAGATTTCTCAGAAGAAAACATCACATTTTGAATACTCTGCACCTCTACAGTGTTAATCTATCTGAGCACCGTGACTTGTCGGTGACGAGGGTTCGTTTTTATCTAGGAAAATTACATTTTTGTCAGGTAGAGATTTTCCGGAAACCTTCAACGGTTTATTGGTTACGTAATCGCACGGTCTGTCGCAATCGGCTTCATCGTCGATGTTAAGGGCCAAAGCACATACATAACATGACGTAGCGATATACGCCGCGACGGTCGTAGTCCCCGACCTGACAGATTAGGATACGCCAAAGCTTGTGCGTTACTTACGTCCACGACTACGACTACGACTACGACTACGACTGTCATATGTACTTTGGCCCTAACATTGTTTCATCCGCCGTCTGTTTTTATCGATCGTATATCTACATGTCGGCCGTATATACCGTGCCGCGTCTCGAAAACGAGACGACTCGACGATGTTGCGAGCTCATGCACGCCGTTCCACATTACAACGGCCCTTGTATTAATTTAAATAACCGGAAGGTTACATAAGCAAGCATGCGCTCGCGCGCGAAGAATTCGTCGAAAAGACAACCGACAGAACGGTATACGTTCGCGAATATCGACGTTCCGCGCGCGTATTTTAACATCCTCGGTGGGCGAGAAAACGCGCACGATTTCCTCCGCCTACTTTGCTCCTACTTTCATTACATGTTTGTTTATTTGACTTACACGTGTACTGCACGTGGCCGCCCGCCTTCGTGTACCGCAGCGCTTTCGTACGCGATAACGGAATAATTGTATACGGAGTGTTAATAACGAAATACTCTGTACCCAATCGCGTATTCAAAATAAGTTTAGGTGCCAGTCTCTCGATATATCAGCGTTTTACGTTTCTTTCGTATCTTCTTTTACCTTCTAACCAATTTTCTTAAAAGGATATTCCAGATATGCCTTAATAAGGTATGCTCCGGGAAATCCCAAGTGAAGACTTGAGTTGTCTTACGCGGGTATTCATGGCTCGTACATAATAAATGAGACGAGCCTGCGAGGGATACTTACTGTTTTACACGCGCACGTGAAATCCTTCGGTGAATTCGCGTTTACGTGGCGAAACTCGGTCGGACGAAATTGGATAGTCGACGTGGAATTGAGCGAAGACACGCAAACAGTGTTCCTGTAGCTTTCTTTTCGAGTAACATTTAGTTTTATGGATAACATCGTAACACGAGTTTTCACTCCGAGATTATTAAATCTGCATCGGGACTATCAGGAGCTGTTCTGTACTTTTTCTCGTATTTTTAGCATATCCTTTTTTGACGTGTACTACCGTATCAATTATATTATTTGAAAGTCACGATAGCGTGATAGCAGCAAGTCGACAGATTTCATATTTTCTTACTTACGCAGGCGACGTTTGCGGAATTGCATTGATTTCGCGTTGTTGTTATTATTTTGTTGATCGCGATGTTTTTCAATAATTCGACATAGGTATTGGCAGCTGTCTTTCGTACCGAATGGAATATCGGCAAAATATTAGTTCCAATTTTCCCTTCTGCTAATTGGACAATGCACTTTTTACGTATCAATTAACGCGCAATGTTCTAATTTTTTTTTAAACTTTGATTCTGATAAGCATGTGAAGATTTTGTAACAAACGTCGCTATTCTCTGGACGCGGATAATTCGGAGCTGCTTCGATCTTAGATGATCGTTTGTTCGCGATGATTATTATCCCTCTCATTCTCTTCCGACGAGTCTTCCGATATCGCTTCGGATTCTGTGTTATCGAGTAGGAGATAGTTACACAATCCACGTGTAATCCCAACCCGCGGTAGGAATGTCTCTTCGAATAGAATTTCCTTTCGATTCTGGTACGTTTTAACGGCGGATCGCCGCCCGCTGTGAGACTTCATGAAAGCGAGATGAACAGGACTCTTTGTTCACCCGAACGATCTGATTTTACGACGTTATCGCGGAAAAGTGATCCGCATTGTGTGCCGCGACTCAACGAGAATGCAATAAATGAATCGAATACGATATCTCGAAACCCTGAAACCGTTGAAACTCGACACCAACGACGGCGAATCTGCCGGTCTCTGAATTACGTGATTATATTCAAACGCGCCTTACGATCGACCGACGTAAATTGTGGCAGTATTGTAAAGTCGTATTTACGGCCAGCGATACTAATCTTATCCGCGAAGGTAAAATCTTGATGTGCGAGAAATTTGTTTTTTAACATAAAATTTTCTTTAACGTTAATTTTTTATTTCCGGTAATTTATGGAATGACGTGTACATTTCCACGTATTTTTACATCGTTATTTCAACGAGAGAAATCACGTAGAATGACGTTATAGAATTAATGTAACACCAGTCATTTTAATAAAAACCAAGTCCCATAATACGCTTGATTCAACCTCAGTGCGGTTAACTCCCCGTATATGCTGTTGATAAAACGAATTCATCTCTATTAACTGATTCAGCCAATCACGCGTCACGCGGGCTCTCGATGGAGTTACGAAAATGCCATTCATCCTCGTGTCTCTTTGTGTCTTCTGCTCTGGATGAGATAATGAAACGTTGGCCGGTGATAACGAGACGGATAAGAAACGTAGCGCATTCGATTAAGACTCACATGATGCGTGTACCTATGTATAATCATCGATTTATGCGTGTATGGTGTGCATGTCGCATTGTCTTGACAATTACATGGCTTATCTCTTCAAGATTGCACAGGCAGTCTCGAACAAAGCTTTCGAATCACACGTAATCTCTTTATTCAATGCAAGATTTATCTACATATAATATGTTATTGTGTTTTGGATGAATGTTCTTTTTAGATGGAACTAGACACTACAGACGCGCGCTACGCGCGCGCTATTTATCTTTAACATTTCACTATTAACCCTATTATACACAACTGTCAAAATATACAATGACAGCTGCAAATGAAGTAAGCGCAGCAAGAGAACCAATCGGCATCGCGGAAAAGCGGCAACAATAAACTTCACATCTCCTTTTTAGAAGAGGATGATTAATCTTTTTAGAATGTCTCGGAGAGCGATCTGTATAATAACAAAATATGATTCATATTCTTTCTTTTTTTCTCTTTATTTGTTATCACAAAATTATCACGTTTATTGATTGGATTAAAATTTAAATGTTACCTCAATAATCATAATTTTGTAGTATTTGAACATTGTTTTTGTTGTTTTGACGAATTAAGCTTGCATTATTTTAGCAGCATTACTTTATCAGCGAGTGAGCGAAGCAAATCTCCTTATTATTATTCCAGCAGATAACGTTGGCAGCAAATATTTTTAGTTGACTAGATTAACATGTAGAAACTTTCTTGATTTTACATGTAGTTTTAAAATGACGACTCGTGTTTTTAATCATTATCTTTTTGCAACGTTTTTGTAGATTTTTCAGCGAATATTTATTTCTCGAGCTGTTTTAAAATGTGTTGCCGATACCTCTGTGTTTTTATACTCGTATATCACAAAATATAATATTTATTCGAAATATTCAATAATAAATGCAATTGGTTTTTACGAAGTTTCGCAATTTCACATAAATGTTCTTTCTATACGTCGTGAAGAAGTATTCTATTTTTAGCTGTAACGTAAAGCGGAGATTTAGTTCGCGAGTTTACTGAATGCAAGTCGGAGGCAATGCCGCTGGACGTTGAATCGCTCGGGCGATTCATTCACTTTTAAAGTATTGATAGCGATTCTTTTCAGAGGGCGATGACGAACAACCGCACAGGCCGTGTAACGCTTCGGTACTCATCGTGCAGTGCGGTAAGAATCAGAGGTGCCTTGAAACCAGCACCGGCCAGCAGTTCTGCGAGTGCCAACGAGATTTTTATTTTGCGAATGTTGGCGAATGTGTTAGGATTAAATCCACGGCGGAGACCGTCGACGTTACCACCGTCAGGCCAGAGCAGAGGTCCGAGTCAGGAGGTACGTGCACACCGGAAAACGCAGCAATGCGCTGTTGAATGTTGTTTGTTTGGTCTTTAACATCAGCATCTTATGATGAAAAAAATTAGGGACACCTGTTCTTCTAACTGCTAACAAATAGGGTTTTGATAACATTGTCACCTTTCGAAGATATATTTTAAAAAACATTTCACGGACAATATCCGAGTACAGTCGGCCTTACGCTCGTTTATGAGCGTCTTAACTCATGATTAGATAACCCCGTTTAACTTCTCTATTATTCATTCACTGATATGTTAAGAAGCGACAGGAAGAATATGATCGATCCGTCAAAGCTAACAACTGGTGATAGCTAACGCGAACGTTAGCGACTAAATTCTCAATCAATTTGATTTAGGTAGCTCCGTAGCCGCCGGTCTGCTGATACCCACCTTCCTCATAGTAGTCGGTGTATTGCTGTATTTCGGCGCGAGACGATACAAATGGCTACAACGATTTCGGCAGTATCGTCACAATCGTTACGGCAATGTCATAGTCACGAGAGACGATGACGACGACGACGACCCACCGATAGCGTAAAATGATAAATAAAATGTAAGGGAGAATTATAAAGATGCACAGGCCGCGCGTGTACCAAACAATCGAACTTGAATATAGGTGCGATGTATGCTTGTCTGACGATAGAACGTATGTGGTACGAGGCTGTAGTGGACTTTGATGCGGGAATACACATATATATACATTCGGTCAGCAATGCTTGTTTGATTCCTTTAGGAATCGTCACTACGTAATTCCGTGCGAGTATCAGCAGGAGAGCTATTGGGTGCACGAGAAGCGAGGAACGAAAATGAATTAAGAGGCCAAATGTAAAGATGCACTTGCGCGAGTAATTATGCTTTTATGATTAATCCAGAGATGGATTATCGATACGTCTCTCAATTGGACATATACGAAAACGAAACAATACCGTTAATGTAATAAGATTATATTAAAATTAGATACTTTTATTATATAATTTATATAACAAAATTATATAATTTTAATGGTAATATAATTGTAATAATTATATATTTTTAGCTCTAAAAGATGGAATATTTTTTGACGTAATTTTTTATTCACACTTTTTTTATTCATTGAGGACGTAAAAGCATTATTACTCTCACGCTAGTCGCCGAATCTATATTTATATGTGATGATTGTAAGGAATATAAGGCATAATGGATTATGTTTATGATAATTTTAAGCATTCACTGAGAGCATAATTTTTTTACATTGATATTAATAAGCTGGTCAGTAAATATTACTATTAATAATAAGTGTATAATAATCAGGTGATCGTTCTTTCATCACCATCCTCGCTGTAGCTGAAATTTAGGAAGATTATATTAAATGTTGTGTCATTATTGTGGATAAGAATAAGTCTATTATCTTTTACAACGATATTCGATGAAGTCATGTGATTAATATACTGAATTTATCTTCTTTTGAATTGTCTTAAATTACCTTTTTAATTACCTTTGTAATTCACTTTTTTATCTCTATAAGAAGTTATTAAATATTTATCAAAGTTATTAAATACTTAAATTCAAGTATTTAATAATTATAAATATCTTTTGCGATTTACAGGCAGCATAATTTTTTCTATTAATCTTTCTCAATTATAGATATTTAAATTAATTTCTCATTCGGGATTTCTTCTTCGTGATTATTGTTTTCACTTATGACAAATGCCAAATAAATCGAATCATTTTTATGAATCCAAATTAGTACTTATTTAAATTGCAAGAAATTTGGAAGCGGGTGCATACCAAAAAGATATTATGCTTTTTAATCTCTTCGATGTTTCTGTAACATAATAAAATCTGTAAATAATCTCTTCGCCATTTGGGCACTGCATACTCTTGCCAGCAACAAATTCTTCCTATAATTTAACCTAATTGTGATTGGAAGATGTATTATCTATATATCATTTATGACGAACGCGGGCTTTGGCTCGTAAAAGATTAATAAAGTAAGCTTTCGAGAATTATACATATTATATAACGTATCCTATTCTTGTACTCTATCATTTTTGTACAGAATCTATGCATTAGAACCCGAAAAGATCGTAGCAACTATTCAGTGTATAGTAATGACTTTGATCGCCGTCTAGATTTGATATTTTTATAGTTCGCGAGTACAAATCTAAAAAGTGGCGAGTGGTACTGGCGAATTACTATTGCATTAGTTTTAATACAGCGACAACTCACGTTCATTATTGATCCAAAGTATGGCTAGTACTGTCTGCTTATTTGTTATTATGCCAGTGCATTTAAATGATTTGACTGAATATCCTGTTACTATTGCAGCCACGTTTATACAAAAGTCGCAGCAGATATTTATTGGATATTGAACATGTCTCGCTAGGAATGTGTTCGAATGTTTTCTTTTTTTCTATCGGAAAACTATAGATATTTACAACGATTGCAATTTGTGTATGCGTGGCTCCGTTAAGTTTTCAATCATGTTTCTGTGATGTATTTTATGTATATGACTGAATCTTTTTATGGTTGATCGATTACATTTTCTCGGCACAATGAATGATCTAATTATGAAGTATTTTGAATGTAAATATTACATAATATTACAGATACCAATGTTCGATACATTTCTAGTTTTTTATATAGGATGTTTCTGAAAAGTTTGACCAAATTGTTTATTTCTTTGATATTCAAAAATAAAAAAGTTGGCATCGACGTATATTCGAAAAAGCTGTTATTCGAGTTACAGGCTTTTTAAGATATTAATAATAAATTTTAAAAAAAATTTACTTTTGCAATTAATTTAAATTTAATAAAATTAATTTAAACTGAATTTGCAATAATTATTTTAATAACAAGTAAATTACAATTTTTTCAAAAACACCCTATACATTTTGCACATTAACAGGCAGTGTAAGTAGCAGCATTATTTAAGGTTATTTGAAAAAAATTGTCGCTTTATACTTTAGTACGAAGTTATTTGGTTGTCTTTACGATTATTTTTCGATCTTGTAATGTTTATGAATTTCTCATAATGGCAGATATTTCGTTGTGTAATTCGTGTCATTTTGTACTATAAAGTACAAATAAAAATAAAGGTCTTCAAAAATTCTGCAAATGAACGTTTTAGAATTACTGTTATGTTACTGGTATATTTGTATATTACAGCCATCAAAGTGTAAAGAGGGGCAATGAATAACAAGTAAGTATATTTCCTCACTCTTTTATATCATACGTAAATATCGACATAGCTTTAAGACAAGATATACGCTCAGGAAGACTTATCCGCTAGTAATAGCTATCGAATTCGACGATAGAACTTATATATAGTTTTTTTTTTTCTTCATAGAGGACCACATATTTTGAATCGCAATTTAACTCGAACGTATGTGCATAAGATATAGAATTACACGATTATTTACAAGTTTGTATATAATTAAGAAAAATGGTGATATCTTTTCAGCACTTCTGAAACCTCCGTGACGATTTCGATTAATATGAATAACATGTATTAATATCGCAAATTAAATTGTTATTAGAATGTATCACGTTTTAAGTTCTGTTATTGTATCACGTTGCTAATTCAGAGGAAACGAGTTTATTACATGACATATGCTGCAACGTCTGTGTAGTGCTATACATCATTTTAAATGGACCTAGTAGTCATTCAAGAATTTTTCTAGCGAAGATCTCAGAACGAATTATCTATGATCGGTGTTATCGTTGAACATTAATCCTGCCTTTGCTTTTCATCGCAATACGCGTGAATAATAATGAGTATCGATAAGTATCATGATGATTAATATCTCATTGTTCTCTGTGTGTGTTGAATTATTATATGGCGTAGCGCCACTTCGCGATTGACAATAATCTCGTCCCTTTTCCAATCTTTTTAATTTCCAATAATTTATATCGACCCGAAATCACGCGAGCTATTAATACCTATAACTGAATCGTCCGCAGATTATTTTCTACCCTCAGAGCGGCGCGACGGGTGCGTCGCGCGTTCTTTGGAATGAAAGACACTGATCATCTGATTGCAACAGGGCTAAGGGTCGAACGCGATGGGTCCGTTCGCGGAAAGCCAGTTTCATAAAAGAACTCAGCGTTTCTCTTCCATGAAAGTGCCTTTCCTAAATCGATCGGTGGCAGTATAAATTAGTCGTTTAGCGCTCGTGAGGCAAGATGTGCGCCTCGTGAAACTTCAAACGCTTCCTCGTAACACTCGTAATTGGTATATCACGATGTATATCTCGTTAGTACGCCGTGTAATCTTGCCATGGTCTCTGTCTGTATTGCGCTCCGCTGACCTGTATTGCCTCCGGCGTCCTATAATACACCGTTCGGCTCCGATCGTTATTGTTAGTGCTCGTTGGCAGGAACTGAGGACTCGGAACGAACGATTTTTGATGTTGATGTTGTTGATGCTGATGCTGCTGCTGCTGCTGCAGCAGCTGTTGTTGTTGTTGTTGTTGTTGTTGCTGTTGCTGTTGCTGTTGCTGTTGCTGCTGTTGCTGCTGCTGATTAATCGGCCTGGTGAGCTTGTAGTTGTTCTCGGAAGGCTGTAGCACGGTATCTCTACCCAACTGTCTGTGAAGAGGCAGGACGAATCCGCTCGGCAAATTGGCTTCCTGAAGCAAGGTCGGCGTCAGGGCGTCATTTAGGGTAACGTCGTATTCGCTCTCGGAGATATCCTGAAGGCGATGCGTTACTTCGTTGATCCTTTGCTTCGCTCTGTAGCTGCCCGGTCCGGACGGTACATCCTGAATGTCTTCGTTCCTGTACGTCGAGCTGTAGATGTTCGGCGTGGTTTCGGCGGAGGGAAGTCTCACCTTGCTGCGGATCGGGGAACCCGAGGATGTCGGCACATTGCCGACATTCGCGTGCTTCTCGCTCGAGTAATTCTCTATCCATTTAGGCGCTAGATTCTCGTTTTGATGGTTGCGCAAATCGTACGATTGATTCTGAGTGGAGTATCCTCTGGAGGAGTTCGACAGATCTTCCGGGCCTCTCGAGACTTCCTCCTCGTTGTTCTTCTCTATCGGTTTTCGTAGCGTAGCTGGTCTGGATATCGCGCTATCGTACTCGTCTTGCCGTTGTTTCTTCTGAAGATCGCTCTGAACGATTTTGTAAGCATCATAAGTTTGCTTATCATCCGTTCTCAGAGATGGCTCCTGATGATTAACGCTTTTACCGTCACCTTGTTCCTCTTGTACGTAGTAACCTCTGTATTCGTTTTCGCTTAAAGTGCTTCGGTGGTCAGTTGTTGTTTCTTCGTCTCTTCTGGGCGATTGCGATGCTTTAGAGCCGACCGGTGATAATCCCCGCGGATTGGGATTACCGCCTCGAGACGGTAGGAAAGGCCTCTTCACGATTCGAACGGTGGTTCGAGGTGGAGGAGGAGACGGTGGTTCCTCTAGTGGCTCGTCGTAATACTCGGAAGAGTACTCATCCGGGTACGCGACCTGATGTTGATTCTGCTCGTTTCTACTTTCCAGGTCTCTATCTTGGTAATCTACCTGCTGAGACGTTCTCAGAGATTTCTCGGGCAAGTTTCTGTGATAATCCTGAATATCGCCCACCTGAGTATCGTCCACCACACGGCCACTTTGAGTCTGAATAGGTCTGGCTGGTCGTTCCGGATAAGATAGCTTTTCCGTTCGATCGGTCACCGTCTCTTTAGAGTCCTCCTCAGGTTTACGAATAAGTTGTTCTGGTAAACAAGTCGTCGTAGTTGTTGTGGTAGTGGTAGTCGTGGTTTTCTCGGTTGTTCGATCGTACGAATTGGGTCTTCTGGATACTTCAGTGGTGTCCGATAGATCCTTCGATCTCGAAGAGGATCGCGATCGTTCGCTGTCTTGCTCGCGATCGAGAAGCCGAGGCGAGTACGGTCGCTCTTGTCTGTCGGAATCTTGCGATCTTCCTCGCGAATCGCGATCCGAGGATCTCTCGGAACCGCGATCTTTTCCACGATCGAGAGCCCGATCCCTATTTCGGTCCCTGTCTCGATCGTGGTAACGATCCCTCGAGCGATCCTGATGCGTCCTGGGTCTTACTTCTTCTGGCGATGTATGATAACGAGTTCTAAAACATTAATTGTTATTATCATTAATTGTAATATTAATTATTGTCAGTGATTAGTGTGAAGTTCAATGATTGCATTAAACTTTTGTAGCTTGATTCGCACAACACCCTTGTTTTTATATTCGTTACAAACGAATTTTAGAATTTTATGTGAAAATTTTTATGATAAAATATATTAAGATATGTTATGTCAATAATTGTATGTTAACGATATATTTTTTAATGTTATTATTAGAATGAATTTAAGATATAATTAGTGATTCATGATTTTGCTTCAATCACAATGACAATTACTTTTTTTTTTAATAAATTTCGTTTATGAATATGATTTTGTTTAGTAGTTTAGTTCGTTGAGTATAACTTTATCGGTGTTGTGTACGTTACCTTACCTGAGGGGACGATCCCGGTCCCGAGTTTCATAGAAATCTCTTTCCCTGTCTCTGTCCCTGTACGAGGGTCTTCTTCTGAGCGGCCTCCTGCTTGGTCTGACATCTTCTAACTCGTCTTCGTAATAATCATCCTCCAAATCTGCCGGTCTCCGTCGTGGCTCCTCTTTAATCATATTTTAATTATTTTTTATTAAGTGCTTTACTAAATTCTCCAATGTCGAAAATTTTTTCAGGTAAATTCTACCTATTGGCTGCGCGGGGGTGGTTTTGTACGCGTATTTATCTTGCTCCGAAAGTGGTACCGGTCGCCGAATCTTCGGTGGCGCTCTTGGCCTCGAATAAACCGAGCTGGTTGGTGCAGCCGGCTTCACCAGGCCTTCCGTGTTAGACGACGCGCTCGCCGAAGGTGCTGCAGGTTCCTTATCGTCGTAATCATCTCTATATCTGACGCGAACAGAATGTAATATCAGGTTTCGTAAGTGTATACCGTTCAAACAATGCAAGATCTAAAAGTGTGGTTGCGTATATAAGATATGTCGAAGTGGTTTTTGATAGGATCAACGTGTTCTCACCTCTTATCGGAATATCTTCGTTCATCGGTATCCCTGTTTCTCGACTCCGGGCGTCTATCGTACACATCTGAATCGTCCACCTCTCTCGACGTAGATCTGATACCTTGATCCGGGTTCCTTCCCCGAGGTCTCGAATCGTCCTCCAGCGGATCCCTCGTCCTGGGTGGGTCTCTTCTAGTTCCCCTTCCTGAGTATCTGTCCCTACCGGCGTCTCGATCCCTATCGTCTCTACCGCGCGCCGACGAATCCCTGTCCCGGAAGTCACGATCGCGGTCCCGATCCCTGAACTCACGATCCCGATCCCGTCTGTACTTCCGATCATCGTACTCGTAATCGTCTCGGCCGACAAAGTCACGTGGGCGACCGTACTCGTCGTCATAATAATCTTCCTCATAGTAATCGTAGGGTCTTCTTCTCGCTGGAGGTCTCCTTCTGGGTGGAATCCGATCGCGTGCAGCCGCTCGACTGGTCGGCGCGGTAACCGGCGCCACGGTAGTCGTGGTAGTCGTCGTAGTCGTCGTAGTTGTAGCAGCTTGGTAAAGGGCATCGTTCCTGTGCCAATACTTTTTGGAATTGGCGCAGTCGACCTCGGAGACGAAGTGGCAGATGAAGGTCTTCTGATCGAACGCCGTGAAATTGGCGCACAGGAAGTCGTAGCGAGTGCCGAAGAGACAGTGATGGTAGACCTTGAGGAGAACACGCGTGCGACGTTAGAATTACCGCCGGACATGTCTGCCGTATCGATAAGAATTGCGCGCCGTTAATTGCGATAACGATGACCATTAAGAATACGGAATGGATTTCGACGTTGGGCGTTTACGAAACCGAATTGCGATCGATGGGTGAAAGTGGGCGGCAAATCGGCGCCGCGCGTCAGACTTTCGAGATTTTTGAAGGCGCCCTCGATCGTTTTCATTTTGATCGCCTGCCGCGCGAATCTCGCTCGCGATTCGTTACGTCGGCTGTCCTCACGAGGTAACGAAACGTCAGCGACATGACGATTTCAGCACACTTTTCACCGCAAACGAACGCGGGCGATCTTGCCGCACGCCACCACTTTCACACGGCGGCCGGGTGTGTGCGAGTGCGAATAATTGCACGGAGTCGCATAAATGTGCATTCTACGGTACGGTCACGAATGAAAAAGACTCGCGTCTGTGTGAGGGCCCCGTGGTATTATCTGGAACGTGCAAACGCCGTAGAATTATCTAGGGGAATTATCTAGAATCATTCAGAGCACATCCTTTCGATAAATGTCCGGCACCGTTTCACCGAGATCCTAGATCGTAAAAAGTAGAGAAGCTCCGATCCCTGCCAATAATAGATCATGAATCTTACTCAACTCGTAACATGTAAATGTCAGACGATCATCGAATGTCTAATCGTGCGTCTAACGAGCCTCACACGCATATGCAGCGCAGGATAATTTCAGTACAGTTACAATCGTTGCAACTTTACTAAAAATTTATTCTTGTTCCTCACAATTGATTTCCTAGTTTTTTACAATGAAATATTGAACTGATTTAATCAATTAGTCAACAAAATTATCGGAATTTCTTTTAATGAATCACATATAAGACTACTGTAGGGTCTGTGAATAATTTACGGTGGAAAGTCGGCAAAATGTTCGGTTGGTCGAGATTTCCTCTATGCCGAATGCCGGAGAATAAATCGCGGTTATTTGCATGACAACTAGTGGTAGAATTATTCAGAACGCATCTTTCAGAACGCTCCGACGAGCGTTTTCATACAATCTTTTAGATCTCCTTAGTATCGCGAGTTAAGAATGTTATCGTCCTCATAAACGTTACGGCGCTACATCGATCACGTTCGGAAGTGCGCGCATTAATCAGCAGGATCATTACAATTGTAAATTTTGCCCGCGAAGCTGGAAAGATTAGAAAATAATCCAAGCGATCGCAAGTGATTTCCTGGCAGGAAACCCCAGTGGCGAATTAATTGTTTATTTCCTAATTTCTCTTCCGCGACAAATCTTTCGCAAAGCTCACAGGATGACCGGTCTTCTCGACATCCTTCTTTTTTTTCTACGACGCGCCGCGTAGAGCACGTCCCGGCCGACGAACTCTGCTCGTTAACATTTGCATGACAATGCTCCATTCGTTCTCTACAGTCTCGCGAAAATGATCGATAAGAAAACGAGCCGAGTCCGGTCGGAAAGAGGCTACTTTGCAATCGCTTTCACAATTCTAGGAGTGCACGTGAATCGCGGAACGGTCAGGGACGGGAAGCGTAGCGGACCACGAAAGTCCTCTTCCTCAGCTTCTTTCCACAGTGACCTTGTTATTGCGGCCGGTAAAAGGTTTTTCACTTTCGATATCGATTTTTTTTACCTTGCTGCTTTTGCAATTGACGATAGTGAAAGATTCACGATGACCAATCAATTGTTTGACGTTCCTTGAGAACACTTCAACTTCGATTATTCCATCAACATACAATCTATATCCATCGCGATGATATCATTTGGCAGATTTATGTACATGATGTTATGTTTATCGCAAAATTTTGATTAATCATGCAATTGCCAATTACATGACTATCATCAAGGTCTATCTTTGCCGAGTATTTTTGTCATATAAGCGCGAACGTATCAGAAATTGGCATCGCGATGATTTAAATTGCAGCGCCCACGACCTTTCGATTTTGTATAATAAATATCACGCTTTGTCCTTGGTACACACACCCAATCGCAATAATTACTGCTTACCACTTATAGTAATTACATCAGGACTGTGTAATTTTGTTTCATTCAAACGACGCGAATGAATCTGCAACGATGATTTCTCAATCGTTCGTTTTTATGTGGTCAAACCCGGGATTTGCGCGCGGTGAAACGATCGCTCTCAGCGATGCGATGATTGGTAAAAGTGTGCTCAATCGATACGCATTTTTTTTGCATTCGTGTCTTGCCCGAGAACTCGCTTTCATTCGTGGTTGCCTGCGCAGATGTCAACTTATCAATCAGGTCTTCGACCGTCGACCGATCGCCGGAGTCGAATAATGATCACTATCTTCCGCCAACATTAGAAATTAGAAGGCAACGCTCTCGGATCATTGACACCTGTTTATTACGGCAGTAATAAACATCGCTGTATTGAGAAAGATCTTTCTTTAAAATTCATTCAGGCGACAACTCTCTTGATTTTCTTCTTACCGCGTTAGAATCGGTCTTTTTTATTGAAAAGATAATTCTAGTTTATCGCCTGTTCAAATTGCAAACGCAGCAGCATCAATGTTTTAATAAATAGATTTCAATCGCTCGATATAACGGCCATCGTTCGGCGTAGAAATTCGCGTTACTTTTTTCTTCCTTTCCAAAGATACCACTTATTTTCTCGATTAGATAGTATTTCTATAATGTAAGTGTAATTAAATTTTAATTACCTGGCACTTGTGCGGCACGCTGGCGTAGAATCCGTCGTGCAGGCCGTCGCATTTGAAATCGATATCCTCGGGTATACTATTATAGAATGGATAATCACTGAGATTATAGCCGTTTAACTCGCGCGGCAGATTCGGATCCCATATGTAATCGATCTGTGGGATTCCCGTCAAAGTGTGCCCAGTTGTTCCGTTGGTTTCGGTCGCGACTGTTGTCGTCTGAAAAGCAAAGTGAATTACAATCTCTTCCTTTTTCGCGAAATGACGAAGCTAATAGCATCCAAAACAAAGGATTTGAAAATTTTAAGATTACTTTATCACAAACGTGATGACTATGTCGGATAAAATGGCTTTCATTTCCTGCGGAAAACACGGCCCCTTGATTCGATACCGATTTTACCGTAATGACAGTTTCCGTGTATTCGTGAACGGAAAAGAGCGCGGTCTGATAGACCGATATCTTGTAGAAAAGTTATTTCACGCTTGAAGAGGCCGCTACGTCGTGCTATAATGATTAGGGATGAGCACTCGAGCTTGATCTGATGATGTCACATTCGCTCGTTTGTGCGCGAAGGTGAACAGGCCTGTCGTGCGTGAGTTTACGTGAACGTTAATTGATTTGACGCCGGCGTACATTAATCAAAGTGCTACGGCGCCTACGCAGATGCAAATACAGTTGAGACGCGCTGTTAAACCGGATTTACATGGTATAGGAGTTTACGCAGCGCTGTTTTCGTGATTTGGAACACGACACGCGATGTTCATCGTATTATCACGGTGGTCAATGCGCTCTAGCTTGCTTCCAAGATGTATTACCGGCTAATTTATGTCGTGTTGCATTTGCAAGACCTCTTTTATTCGCGAAGAAGCACTGGCGAAATGAGAACTCGTTTAGTACACGATCGTCGTGACTGTGGCATCGGTTTTGCAACGATCGACGATAGATCGTGTTTCGCCTACGTCGTGCCACCTGAACAACACGATCGCACGATTTGGAACAAGGATGATATCGGTATAATTTTGGTTTAATCGTTTTCATTGAAACGTGCAGGAAGTACATGAAACATATTTTTTACTCCTGTCTATAATATCAAAGATTGAAATTACTAAAATTATTTTGATTATAATAATTATTGATTTAGGACCGTATGTCGGTTCGAAATAATGCAAAATTGATCGTAATCGTCTTAAATTTGAAAACACAATATCAGGATTTATACAATTATTGGTTTAAAAGCTATTAGATAACATTTAATTAATCGTACTATTTTGCGATCTATTCTAAATATGATTGTTTTCTTCGTATACCTCCGAATTTACTTGATCATTTTCTTCCACGTGAGGCTCCTCGGTCGTGGTGGTCGTCGTTGACGTGGAAGTTGTCGCAATTTTAAATTTTGGCCTGGTCTTGAGTGCTGCGGAGACGGCGTGGGCCAATAATATTCCTAAAACGCATAAAAGAGCGATCTTGTTAATGAGAACGTAAAAATCATCGGAAAACGTGGATCGATGTCATGACTTTCTTTCCACAGTGCACAGTTGCGCGACTAATCACGCACGTTCGAGGTAAATATAGTTCGGTTTGCTCGCCTGAGGAGTATCGATGGCCCCGATGAGTCGTCTGATACATTAAGGAAAAAGGCCATCACGCATCGCGAATTACGTAAATCGCGAAGAAGCGTCGGCGTTGCAAAACTTAGACGAGCAGTGTGGTGAGAACCCAACATAAGTGTTGCAATTTTCTCTCGCCGAGCGAGCGCATTCGGTTGGGTAATTGTTCTTAAACGGATCAAGGCTGTCTATTGATCGTTTCCTTTCCACGTTTTGTTGATTTACGATCTATAATACATGAGCCACATATGCGGTAAGCTTGTAATACACAGCATCAATCTTCAATTAATCATGAATATTCCGTTTTTACACCATAGGTTTCTATATTTGTCTCTTTTATTTATTTTTGTTCTCATGATTTCTTTGATGATTGCTTTAATCAAATTCTCTTAATTTTTATCTCGGTATATCAAACTTACATCTCTATCTCTAAAAATCTCAAGAGAAGCAAAGTGTTCTCTCCAGCCTATATTAATGGCTCCGTAAAGCCTTGCTACTGAATCACATTTGCGACTGTTTTGAAGTAGTTCAAGGCTATTTTGAGAACTAGCAGCTGAGGAATTAAGACGCAAAGTGTGGACAGTCCGCGAAGCGTAAATCAAGGCAGAAATTGTTTTTCGCTTTCTATGACATTTATCTCCCGATGTATATCTTTATAGACGATATCGATAATTCCCACGCCACGAATGTATTGGCTTCAGTCTCTTGAAGAAAGAGACTTAATATAAATTCCACCGTTAACATTTACTTGAATAATCAGTAAAACTTAGAATGCAGAAAACAGTTGGCAGCCAAGTAACCGACCAATAATTTTTATAGGACTTACAGTCGTTGTTTTTACGACCGTGTCTCCCGCTCCCGTTATTTTCGACACGATTCTCGCGCATGGTGCACGTACATACGGAAAAACATGTTCGCGCCTTCGTTGAATCGATTAGGGTTGCGCGACGACGACGTGAACGCGGCTCGTGGACCGGAAAGTGGATGTCCTCGAAAGTGATGTTGAAAATGTGTATGATAGGCCCGGCAATCGTATAACGGGATCATACTTTTCCAGGCTGCGATCGATAAAGAGCCGCGCCGCGCCGTACGGGTCGGCGCGTTGCATAAAAATGAATTATGGGAACGCGCTCGCATTCCGTTTGTGGGAAATGTTAACGTGGGCGTGCTCCCTCCTTGTAAAACGTTATACGATAAAACGTTTTTCGTGACGAAATCGTCGTCGTTTTCTATGTCGGTGTGTAAACAAATTGCTTCATTCAATTGTCCGACGCGTGGTCTCGATCGAATGGGAATGATCTGACATTTTCTTTCCTCGAAGGGCGTGACGGAGTCTTCTCTCGCCTTGGCGATGATCTTCATTAAGAAATTATGATGCGACACGAAACGCATTTACGTGCACTCTTTACGTGCGGTATCTACGCTGATGCGTAATGACGCTTAAGATGTGAAAATTGCGTTTATCGTCATGAGATTAATATAGCGTCGCTAATTATCGTAAAAGTTTACGATGCCGTAAGAATGGTGTTCTAAATTATTTCGTGATTTTTAAGTGGGGTTTTAAAGATCTCGGACGGATAGAATGTTGCCCAACCGGCGAAAATGTCAGAAAGCATTCTAAATGCTAACACACAGCGTCACGTGACTGATGTAAACCGCTCCAATGAGTATTACGGGCGGGGAACAGGTCGATAGCAACTTGAATTCGCAGTATGCGTTTGCAAACAGCCGCGACGTAGTCTTTCCTGGCGAGTCAGCTTCCACGGAATTCCCGTCTTTATCGGATCTTCTGAGCTTTTCTTTGTCGCCGCTAAGTCGAATGACGTTAATGCCCGTGTTTGCCGAGTATCTTATCCCGAATTTTCGGACTCTTAAGATTATACGCTTCATGCTTCGCGACAAGACAAAGGAAACCTCTTGGCATTCACGACGGGTTCCTCTTTCTTCGTGGAACTTTTCTGTAAAGCATTTTTGTGAATCGCACGTAGCCACGAATCGCAATACGAATACCAAATGGCTTGATGTAATTTTTAAAGATTAATCTCTGTCGTCTCTCGGTTGATAATCCGATCAAAATATCCATTTTGCCTTAGTACATATTTAATGATCCTTGAAATGTTCTTCATGAATTTTTAATTAACATTTATGAGATTGCGAGCAAAATGTGAGAGAAAAATTTATATTTTATAATTTTTAAATTAATTATTTTTTCTTTTAGACACAAAATATTTTAAGTAGCTATCAAATTTGATCTGTGCTAATCTCAGCATTTAACTTATTGTACCGTTAAATTCCGTTTATTTGTCATGGAAGGTAGCCGTTATTTTGTATTGCACGAGAAGTCGCGTTGGGATTCGATTTACGTGCGCTATGTAAAATTCCCGGGTGTAGAAGGTCGTCCACTGTCTCTTCGGCATTCCTCCGCGGCCGTGGAAAGTCCAAAAATACTAAGGACGCGACATCACGGTGGATCGCGAGATGGACAAGGGGAAAGATTCTTTCTTCTGCGGAACGGTAAACAGGATTTCAAGAAATAGTAGAAATCGAGTAAAAGTCCCGCTGACAAGCTCCGTTTAGTATCCGGGGAATCATGATTCGTCGTGAAAAGAAGAATCATCAGATTCTACAGAAATTGTGCTTACCGTACAGAGCGAGCAGCAGCAGCCATCGTTTCTCCCGCATATTGGCACTGTAACAAATAAATTGATTACATTAGTTACATTAATTACATTAGTAACAGAACAGTTATTATTATTTAATTAGTTAATTGACCTGCGCTGCAATTTAATTTCAGAGATTAAAGCCTTTGACAAAATTTGAAAAGAGAATTATTTTAATTTATCATTTTACTAAAATCTCAATGTATAATTTACAAATAATTTTATTGAAATTACGATGTGCGTGTATATAGGATTATATCTAATTCTAAAATATAACCATAGATAATTATTAATTTATATTGTCCTCGATTTTATATGAGGCGTTTTTGGAAATGTTTCTGTTGTCAGTTTTTTGCGCAAGATATTTTAGAGGACGACGAGGTTTCTACTTGCGAAATTTTAGTTGAATTCCGCAGGGTGTTGAATGACAATCGCACGGCACTGTACATCGGTGAGCATAATCAAAGTAGTATGCCTTAGCACCGCGCGTAGACTGTGCTCGAGTATATGGGAACGGATAGGAACTTTCTCTGTGCTGTCACCACTGCTAACCATATAATGCAAGGATAATGCGGGTGTTATATAAATGCGCGATCACGTAATCGAGTGTGACTTTACAGTAGTGATTGCGAATGTCTAATTATTGGAGTCTATCGATGCTCCTGGAGCGCACTGGTCTACTTAGAGAGCACTTGTGATGGAATCTCTCGAAGAAGATTCACGATGCGGTAATCCGCTGCCGTTCAATAACTTACGTTAGATCATCACGCGAGCGATGGTTGATGCGTTCTTGTAATAACGGGTCTGCCATCTCTTACTCTGGAGGTTGAAATCGCCTTAGAATTTTTAATGAAGTTGTATACGCATCGTACTTAGTTCTTGTATATCACATGTAGTATCTTGTATATCACGACTTTTACTTGCGAGGTTTATTGAAATTGAGCTAAATTTGCCGCAAATTGCTACTTCGTAGATGTAACGAATGGCCTTGATTTTTCGATCACCGTCGATAATTCACATTCCATAATGGCATCGTGGCTCTTGAGATTTTATTTCTTTTTTTTCCCCTCTCGCCTGTACTGGTGAAAGTAACCTTGCAGCCTTCCAGTACCAAATTAGATTACCAATCGTGGACTTGATATAGTTACATGCCACGAATGTACTCTGTGCTGGTCATACACTTGTACGGTCAGCCATTAACGAGGCTTGAGTCATCGGATCTAATCAGTTTGAGACTAGGTTCATTGACGAATATAATATTATAAAATTGCTATGTGTCCAGTCTTTGATTAATGCAAATTAATGTCAATTACAATGATCTGAGATGCGCAACAGGATGCGAATTCAATTCTGGCTTATCGCCTTTAATTAAGCGGAGAGACTACACGTGATTTTCGAACGTAAATACACGCGATTCTTATGTTCTTCTCAGTTTTCCGCACAGAAATGTGCTCGCATTAATTAAGCGCACTATCGCGCTCCAGTTCCCAAACAGATTCTTATCGTTTCTGTAAAAGTAGGAAAGAAAGAGAGAGGATACCTCCCTCACGCTGCAGCCGTACACGACTACATTATTCAGTTACACAAGTTTTCGTAATTGTTCCTTTTGTTTGTGTCACAACGCGAAGAACGAGTTCTTCGCGTTTCTCAGGCAGGCATGGGAAATCCTCTCCTGATTATAGATCAGTTTCATCCGGAAGCTGCACCAATTAGCCCCGAATCGTAATAAAATTTGTGAATTTTTATTCGACACGGCCAAGTTTTATTCAGCTAAATATAATACCTGCTGCGTTTTGTAATCACGTTGTTATGTAACTTGCTGGGTATTTTTTTATCAGCGTTTCTTGTATTTATCTACTTTCTATGGCATATTTGTAGGTATTATATATGTAATATTTTTTACATATTGTGTGAACATAACACCCTTTGGTGCGTGACGGAGGATTATCATATGTTGCCAGAAGGCTCCAATTTCTTAATTATGCATTACAAGAAATGAAAGATGCGATCTAAATATAATTTGTATATGTTTCGGTTTCTATCACCTATCGAACATTTTCCGAAAGAATCTTCCCTATCGAGATGCACGCGAAATATGTTACTAGTAACGTTACCTTACGGTAAACTACTTTACGTTACGACATGCGAGTAACGGTCACCCACGCCCACTAAAGGTCACCGGAAGTGATGGCTGGTACCACCAGTTGCTCAATTGATTCGCCTTCTTAAATCGGACTGGCGAGTGCGCAAAAATACGCGCACTTTAAAGATTCTCAATCTTGCTTGAATTATTTAAGAATTCTTTTCTGAAACTTCTTGAATAATGAAAAAGTTTTCAGACAATATATTAATTAAAAAACAAAACAGTTATAAAGAATTTATATCATTTTTTAAATCGAGAGTAAAGAACAATATCTTAAATATTTTTACTTTTGAATTAATTTTTGATAATAATTTATAAACTTCTATGCATTTTTCCGGCTATAATAAACAAAGTTTTTGGAATGCTAAGCATTGCGCTAAGGTGCGGTTGCAAAAGTCGATAGCCTTCAAAAGTGTAGTATGCCGAAACAGCACAGGCTTTCATTTCCTCATGCGTGCTATTCGAGTGCTCGCTTCGAGCTGTATTATTGAATTAATCGTCGATCGAGAAAAATTGATGTCGACTGCAACGAAATTCAGCGAAAGAGTTAATTTAAAAAGTGCGATTACATAATGCGGAATTCCGATAAGGAAATTTGTTTTATCTTTCTAGATACTGTTCTATCTCTTGTTAATGAGTATTATTAAGATTATTTTAACGGAAATAATATGAGATTGTGTGTATTATGCCTGTTATAAATGCACAATCTTAAAAAATATTAGTTATACTTTAAAGGATTGCATAATTAAGTTCTTGACTTGATAATAGTAATTTGTCTCAATGTCCTTCAAAGGCGATATTTACAGCGATTGACATTTACAGAGAGAGACAAAGAGAGAGAGAGAGAGAGAGAGAGAGAGAGAGAGAGAGAGAGAGAGAACATAAATATCAAGAGATATTGAGATAAGAATATATTTTATGGATACAATTTTGTTTGCTCTGCAAAATTTCTTGTGAAAAACTAAACGACTCATATATTTTGTAAAAAGTTAAAATTACAAGTTTCAAAAATATCTATAAATACAGATATTTTTGTAGCGTATTTTGCCTGTTTTTCCAGAGCAATGAATACAGACAGATCAGATCAGATACGCCTCGCGTATTTTAGTACGATCATATCTCTATAAAGTAGATTTGCTTAAAATGGATATAATCCGTCGTAATCCGTCAGATCAATGGATCAGTCACGAACATTACGCTTCTCGCTATTTCAATCGTGCTTCATAGCTGAAGAAGAGTGTTTGTTGTATTAGTTGCAAGCATTGTTTGCCTTGTACGTAGAAAGTGTGCGATTGTGCAAGGCAAACATATGCAGAGAACAAATGTTAATAATCGTAACGAGAGCTGCTGGTCGTGCGTGCGCGTAAAAAAGAAATATCTTTCGTAAATTAGATTACTATCTGGTTGCGGAGTATGAAACGTTGAACTTGCTTGGACGAACGCCAGGGCCGCATCGGGAATTTTTGAGCGCTACAAATAAAACGAAATTCTGTGCAGTTGTGCCCAGAGTGAAGTAAACACGCATCGAGCCGATATTGAGGTTTTTTGTTGTGAATATATATTTACACGTTATTTCATATTCAAATATAGAGAAACGCGTCTGAATATACAAAAATGATTTAAAGTCTGGAATATTGGAGAGACAATTAAGCAGATTATAAAGAATTTTAAATGTTATTGTCAGAAATAAATGGGATAACATCAAATAAATATATATTAAGACAGAAAGATTATAATTAATTTATAAAAACATTTTGTTAAAAACATATTTTTTCTTTTTTTTCTTTTAAACAAAACCATGAAACGTTACCTATCTCGGCAAAATTTTTCTTAATTTTGCCGGCTTTTAAAAAGGTGTTAGATTTATTTAAAACATTACAATTTTTATCATATCTCGCCAATATATCGCGTTTCCACGTTCCGAGCTTCCGTTCTGACACTAGAACGATTTCTCCTATTAGAATTTAGAAATTCTTCCATAATCCATTTATGTGTGGTTTCTGCGAGAGTATGTTTCGTTAATTTTATGTGTTATTAATAATTTACATGTAAAAGAAATACGTCTAACTTCTTCCTGAAGGCGAAATAAAATTTAATGAATAGATTTGTGATACATAAATAGCTTACGGTCACGATAGTATTCGGAAATTAGCTTCTAACACCTGCGTACGCTCCAATGACCACGGAATTGAAGTGGTCGAAATCGTTTATCGTAGATCAATCGTTCTTGCGCAACAAAGCGATAATAAATAATTGCCGTTATTCCTATATCGATTCGCCGCGACTCCAATTTTGGAATTGTACTCAAAATGTGTCTTTGATTTTCGACGAGCTGATCGAAATTCAACTCATACTTCAGCTTTGATTAGAAACTGTCATTGAGCAACACTCAGAATTCGTTCGATCAAGCTGATCAGAAAGTGTTTCGGTCGTTCTTGCCGTTCCTCGAGACGAGAGAACCGGCTTCGGAATAAATGATTTCACTCTCGGCTGAGAATAAAATTTATTCGACCGTAAAGCATCAACTGCGTCGTTTCACCGATTTATTGTGTAAGACCTATTCTTATTTAGGTACCTAAATATATCGGACAGTGGCTGCCAAAGAACATCTTGCAAGTTACCAAAATTGACGATGTAAAAAGTTAGGTTCTCGCCTTCTGATAGGTTCTCGATGTATAACAATTCCACGCGGATTAACTATTAATATCAATGTAATTAATAATCCTGTACGCGGTTCATTACGAGGCTTTTACGTAAGCGCGAATAACGTGTGAATAAACGCGCGACAGATGTTATTTTGATAGCCGGCGAAACTATTCGAAAGTTATTATTTAAGAGCGGGCGGAGAGTGAAAAATTGGACGAATCCGTCTCCTACGAATTTCTCCCTTAAGAAGAGACTTGCGCTCCGTGTATAATTAGCGCGATTAATGTGTCGTGAAGCCGGCGCGCCGCCATCCGTCTTTCTGCTCTTCCTATTCCGTGCGAACGATTGTTCGTTACAGAGCTCAGAGGAGAGTACAATGAGGGTCCGATGCAGGTCCATATAAGAGATATTTTACGATACGACACTTCCTACCGCACTGTAAACTCTATTATATAAGTTATACAATGTACTTTATCGCTCTCTGCGGCTTCTTCGATCTATTCGTACGTAACTCGACATCTGCAGCAAATGTAAAAGTATTTGGGACGATCTAGGGTTATGATCTTATGATAATAGTAATAGGAAAATACGTGTTGTTCCTACAGCAACAATTACAAATTATTTAATTATCTTTGCCAGCCATGAAATTATGTTTGCCAAATAAATGAGTATTTATCGAAAGTAGACTCTCGCAACATCGACGCGTATCAGGAGATGTGACATACTTTTTACTCGTTGACACATTCGACCGTCAGTCTGGTTATCTTACTATGAAAGTGCTGATGGTCAAAATTTCGTTTTATCCTCAGGCAAAACGTTATGAGCGTTCAAAAGTTCGATTTCTATCAAACAATTAAGATTGTGTTGTGATTTGTGTTTTATTTTTCAATTTTCTGCAAAATATGCGTGTATATATTCTATTTCCAAAGACATTAATACAATCAAAATAGAAAAGAACGATTGATCAATAGTTATATTAATTATAATAATTTGTAAATTATAGTAAGTAAATTATAATAAATATTAAATTATAATTTCAATAATAATAATTTTTTTTAAAGAGCACTTATTAAATTCGGATACATGAAATCCATGTCCAAATAATACGACAACTTTTTACAATAATTTTTTTGTTTGACAGGGATTAGCGGTAACTTATTGCACATACCGTTATTCTTATTTGTGTACCACTCGGAGGTATTTACACGGTTCCTCCAAGCGCATACGCCTTCGCCCGGGCTATCCTCTCATTTATTAATTCTCCTCCTCGTGAATGCGATTATCTCCTGAGAGATTATTTACAGCGAGACGTGCCGGCGGGTACGAGATAATAAAGTAACAGTTATCGTATACCCCAAGACAGTTAAGACGCCTAACTCCATCGTCGGATTAAAATTTTATTTATCTTTCATGCAATTATTCCCAATTGAAGCGTACTTCACTAATTATTGCGGTGATGAAATAGAAGATATTTTATTGCCGCTTCACTTTTCCCGCGCGCATTTTCTGCGCGCATAGTCGCAAATGTTTCCCGTGTCAATTGCCGTGCTTTTCCAGCGCTGATCCATCCGACTTTCAGGAATTTTGTTCGTTCGATCATCGCGAGTCACACGGATTGGCCGTAAATCTATCCGGCCGTTCGATTATGGCGAAGTCGTTCGCTTATTTTTCCGCCGGCGTATCAGGAGAAAGCCGCTCGCGCTTGCCCGCGACGACGGACGTGGATTATGTCGTAACGCCATGGCGCGGTGCAATATTGTTTATGAAAAAGATCCCGCAAACGGGCGAGCACGTGCCGTCGATGCTACTGCTGCGGCTGCTGCTGCTGTTGTCGTTGTCGTTGCTGTGCCCTCCGTCGCGCCGAGAAAATGGGCCGGTCGCGGTGCGCGCGATTATGAAACTTTTTTAATTACGTAACGAGACGAAGCTCGCGCGCGGCGAAAATTCTCGCGCGTATTGCGGTATTGCAGGCCCGTTCACGAAGACATATGGATATTTCGTGGTCCTCACAGAAACGGAGAGAAGCTGTGCAAACTGAATAATCGTGGCGAACGTTGGAGAATCAACTGAGATAGTTTCTAACGTCTCAAATTTTCCGCTTTGAGAGAAACGCTGAAATTGTGCACCGCGATGTGTTTTAAGCGCGTTAGAGTTCAGTTGCGATGGAATTGAGAAAAGGAGCAAATCTCATTAAGAAGAGCTGGCAAGGCGTGTCGTGTCTAACACGCGCTCCTCGCGTAAATTAAATTCACATTCGAACGTGTATACAATCGCCTCGCGGAATCCGCCGATTGAAAGTGAACGTTGTGGACGCGTTAGAACGCGTTGGACGGAGCGAGGCGATAAATTACGCACGGGTAAAAGAGAGGCAGAGATAGAGAAAGAGAGAGAACGGTCCATTGGGGTACCGTCGAGGCTACGGAAAACTTACTCCACCTAATAGACGAAGTGGTGTCGGCTGTGCAGGTACGAGGTGAACTCTTGATTTAGATAAACCTACAATAAGAACGCAGCGAATGCTATCGTGACTCGATCAAAAGAAGGCGCTCGAGAAATGTCTTGCCCTATAAATCGATAAGGCTATTATATTCATCAGTTCGATCGTGTTCTCACATGCGGGTCGGTGAAAGACTGAAATAGTTAATGTATTAAAATTTATGTGAGAAAGAGAAAGAGAGGGGGTGGAGGGGGTCGTGCAAATTAGCTAATTATTTCGCTCGTTTGCTTATCTTCTCAGGGTCCTTTTCAGACGAAAACTTTTTCTCCTCGCGGTTTCGTGGCAACGTATGATTTAGTTCCTGCTCTGGTAAAACGAATAAATTACCACAAGTACCGACGAAAGTTTTCATCGGGAATAAGATTCGAGGAGCGAGCGTGCACCGTGCGTACTCGATGCGTGCGTGCCGTTGCATGTGTGTGTGTGTGCGCGCATGCCGTCACACGTGTGCGGCGACCGAGTATATACGTCTTTAAGCCGAACGAACTCTCTTCTCGTTACTCGCGATTCCCGACGAGCAGATTAGAAATTCGTGACTTCGCTGGAACGATATATGTTCGCTCGACTACTTCGACGATGGGGAAACATTGCGCAAAGGGATCGGATTGCGTTATCGCCTGTTTTGGGCGGGATTTCACGCGGCCCTTTCGATTTCGCGCCACTCTGCACTCGCTCGAGCGGAAACGTGCGAGTGGAAAGTGATCGAACGTGGCAAAATTCAATGATAAAACCAGTTCGCTCTCGTTGTCATTGCTATCGAGATGCAAAAAACGGCGGGGGCAGGAAGGCGCACAGGATGCGACGAGCAGCGAAAGTCCTGTCTTTATTGCGGTCTTCGAAGCGACTCGCTTTAATGCTCGCGTTCCTCATTTTTATGGATCCTTTTCTCTGTTCACTCGAATGAATCTGACTCATCAGCCGCGTATTATTTGTACTTCGTAGCAATATCGCTATGTTTATATAACTAATAAATATATTGAAGATGTAGCATTTCGAATTTATCGTTTTAGGGATAACGAATTCCTGAATTTTTCTTTAGGCTATCTTGAACCGAAACGGTCTCGCACGGTGCATGAACTGTCGCAAGAGAACAATGATATTTTGACTGCGGTAGGAGCTGAGAGCTCCTTCTATTCTAAATAAACACTGTGATTAAGATTGATGAGGCAATATAAATTTCATTAAATTTGTCGAAATATTGCGGCGCTCCGCTTTCTTTGCTTTCGAGCAGAGTAAAACGCGCACAGATATCCAATATAATCTCGAAATTAATAAAACATACAGATACACTGTGCGTTTCACCGAAAGATCGAAAGATTTCTCGAACGAACAACATTCAACGTTGTCAAAATTTCGGAAGATCAATAGTTGCCAGAGACTTGTTCCGAAACGGGACAAATTTAAATCCGTATTTTTCAAAAATACGTTCGATCTCCTCGGTTACACAGCTCCGGCGAGAGTGGCGAACGTAATTTGCAGCGCACAACGCAAACATATGAAAAGACGATCAAACCTGTCTCTCTCGGCTCCGCTCGTTTTTCGCTAATCCCTCATGAAATCCACCGTCCTCACATCGACTGGCACTTGAAATGCAAATTCACAAGTATACTGTGCGATCACGAATGACAGGTACGAACACCTCGTCGAGGAAAATTGATAGTGACGTGCGCCCGGAAAGATACCCGTGCGGTTTTTCGGTGGGACCGCTGACAACGGAGACGAGACGACGGTTTTTCGTGCGGGTGCGGGGCGAGATCGCGGCGTCCGGTCCGGCCAGAAGACTGCGCGATGGAAGTGGAAAAGCCACCAGCAGGAGCGTTGCGCTCCGACCACCATCGTCAGATTGAGAGCTTTCTACGACCGACGACGAGGCCGAAGGAGGGAGTCGAACGGCGCATTGGCGTCTTTGGGGCCCGACCGGGGCATAGGCGTAATAATTCCACTGGAGACTTTAAGGACCCAGAGACCGGGAGAGAAAGGCATGAGAGAGACTGGGCGAGCAGGCACGGCACGTAGAGAGACACCTGCGTCGCCACCTGACAGAACGAGACGCTCTCGCGCTCGTGCACGCGGAGCCCGGGGATTCGATATCGATGCTATAAGGTCATTGCTGCGTGCGGCCAACACGCAATCGCGATATTTGCTTTCGGCCTGCAATAGTCATCGGATCAATTCACGGTTTCGCTTCGCAACGAGCCCCCTAGACGTATAATTACAACGAGTCCGACATACGTGAATGATTATAGTCGCGATCTGTTTGATTTCAATTGATAATCTGTGGCAATTACGGCGTATTATTGCGTTAAATACCGCCGGTGCTTGAGCTTTGTGAAAGATCCGAGCGCGATCGGATGACAGATAGGAGTGGATAAAATCGGTCGAAGATCGGTTAAATGAACAGTTAAATTTTTATGACATTTATAATGCGATTTGACACCTACGATAGCTTTGTACTTTAGAGAATAAGGAGGGGACCTTCCATCAAAGGTCTTTCACTGCCTTCGGGGTATTCCGTATTCGTTGCGATCCCTTCGTCATCTGTCACCGACCTGAAACCTAGTGTACACACCACGAAGGATAGGTATAAGAGATCGATCAGAAGAGCCGAGTGAAAGTGGAACGTCGGGCGTTAATATCTTGACAAAGGATGCCGTATAGGAATAGTCGTAGGCGACACGCATGCCTTGAAGATGTTCCGAGCGATAATGATTCCGCGTATCGCGACAGCGCGGCAAATCCGCGGTGAAATGTAGGAAATGTAGGTTTTTCCGTGACGGATATCTTTCGTAATCCTCACGCGGAGACACCGCGCACGGCCGTCACATCGAGTTTTCAATCAATTATTCTTCAGGGTCAAATGGATATAGTTGCCGATACCAAAGGGAGTAACAGGATCTCCATGCGACAATCGCGCGAGATTAAAGCGTCGCTAATATGCGTGACATTAAACACGCAGAATTTGCATGCCACTTATCGATGAGTGACATTTGAAGAAAACAGCGATACGTCATCTGTGCGATACAAGTGCGAAGATTTCTTCAGGAGCATTATAAAGTAGTTGTAAGGATTGTCATATTCCCGACATTACGTCATGTCGCATCGCGCAAAAGATTCACTGCATTTGTTGCATTACGGACGTCGAAACGCGTGTAATCGATAATTTATCTCAATACGTCTACATTCATATACCGTAAAGTTTATTTATTCCACTAGTTAAATTAGAAAAAAATTCTGCCAGATTAATACACGTTTACAGTTTCTCGTTTACTCGCTAGAAATAAACTCTGCTGTCAACCGAGCAGATATATATGTAATTGCCTTTGTTTCTAATTGCTAGAACCGAATAAATAAATTACGAACGCTGAAGTGAGTTCTGTTTGTTCTTGAAAGATTTGAAAATTTCATTAATAATTCGAAGTCGAGTGGAAGATCCTGCTTGCTATAAAGAAAGGAGCGTCTGGCCTCGTGTCACAGGTTTGTCCGCTGTATGAGGTCCACGACGCTTTCTTGGCCACTCGAGAAGTCAACGAGTCCTTTCTTCCTCTATCACCGGCCATCGGCCACCAAGGACGACGCTTCTTATTCCTCGTTTTCTTCATTTTCCTCTTATTGCTCGAATCGCGACTCGCCGTACTTATACCCGCAATCATGGGCTTTCTTTGCGCGGAAGGTCGAACACGCGGCGTGAAATCGAGTTAGGTGTTTTTTTTTTGCATCGCTCGTCGAGAAAGGTTGTTGTCCTTAATGATTTTTATCGTTTAATTTGACTTATTTAATGCGATAGCGGAACATTATCTTCGACAAACATAACTGCGCGCTTTCCACGCTCCAATTATTGTACTTCAATATAAATCTTGCTGCACCACAGTGAGTTTTAATTTAATACTTCAATTTACTATTTTCCTATTTTCTCAGTTTACTTTCGGAGTACAACCGACAAGACCGGGTGGGACATCGTAAATAGCGCATTAAAAGTAGAAGCCGGTCAATTTTCCCGTCACTTTTACTATCGTTAAGACACTAATACTGCTTACATTTAACGGGATAACGTTTAATCGCGTTAGCCTTGGGATTTTATAAAAATACGTTTTTATGCGGAAGAATCTATAATTGAGACTGATGAGTCGACGACAATAAAAGCTACGTCGGCATTTTAATGATCCCCAGATGTTTTCGCATAAAACGATTGTGCGAACGTGATATGCTAAAATCACGTAAAATCAAGCATATTCCTGGATCAGTGGGTCGAAATTACGAAAGAGGATAAAGAGCCGCGGGTGTTCCGCGTAACGAGACGCGCATGCAAAGTGCAAACGGAAAACTGTAACATCGCAGTTAGTATCCGACAGAGAAAGATAGAGAAGAGGGTGGGGTCTGACTGGTCAGTCGAGCTCTCACTTTCTATTGTCCGATCATGCCAAGAAATTGTCAAGCATGAATTTGATTTAACGCTCCTGCCATAAACAGCGCTTCTTCAGCCGCGACAATTTTACAATTAATTTCTCGGTTGAACAAGATTTGTATCTTTTTAAATTTACGATTTCTTTTTGCAGTATACATTTAGATGAAGACTTCTCGGAAATTTCGTGTAAAATGTAGCGCTAGGAACAATGCGGTTAAAAATGAATGCACTTTTTCAATTTCGTGAAAACATAATTGTTTAGTTTATAAAACCGTAAGAAATTGCTAATCTATTTCGCAAACTCTATTTTATTTAACAGCGATAAATAAGGCAGGCATCCCTGTTACTTTCCTGTATCGGCAAACTAGGGATTCGCGTATTATTTTCACCTTACTCTTCGCAGACGAGTTATATACTTTCGATAGCGTTACGCGTTCGTGAGAAGCTTATATATAAAAGAGTTTATTAATGTACATACAACTATTTATATAAAAAATATAGGAATTGTTAGATCTTATTTCCATTCACATCTCTGTAAAGCTCGTCGTTGTTGCCGTAAAGTCTCGGTGAATCATCGCAGTCGACCTGTAATATTAAAATTAATAATAAGGGGTGTCGAAATTAATTTAAATTAATTGCGTGCCTCTATATTAAATAGTTTTTAGGTACCTTAAACCACCAGTCACAAACGCGAGTGGTTTGACTAAAAACTGTACCGTTCGGGCAGAGAAAACTGAACTGACGTCCATTTGGCAAGCACCAATGCCACACCTTGAATGAAAAAGAAAAATATGAATATTAAGATTGTTATAATTATCAATCGACAATGAATTTTCCAATCTTTTCTACATACTTCTCCAAATCTTACAAAGTATTATAAATAGATCTTTTTTCAAACAATTCGATTATTATTTTGCAACATATTTTTTGAAATAATCAGTTTCTTTGTTTAAAAATAATTTATCACACATGTCAGTTCTCTTCTTTAATATATTTCTTAATGAGATCAACAGAATCTCATGCATTAAATGTATATGATACTACTGAAACGCATTTAAATAATCTCGAATATTGAAATGAGAATTTGTTCGGTGACCATATGGACGCACCTGACATCTGGCCTCGGGATCGGCATAATATCCAGGTAACTTCCCTCCACAGGTAAACGTAAGTCCGAACGGCACCGAATTGTAAATTGGATAGTCTACGCCAGGTGTGTAACCATCCACTTGCTGCAACGCACAAATAATTATGCGTGTTACAGATAACTATCGTTTTTTTTTTCTAACAGGTGTTACCGATTTGTTTGTAAATCGTTTTTTTCTGATGAAATGTATCTTGTGTTTTTATACGATTTTAAGTTTTTTTAAGCAATTACATAATTGTCACACTGTATTAGGGCGCGTTCTAATTTGCATTGCAAATCTCGGTGGTTGCGTCGAAACAATTAGCGAAAACAGTGAAACTTGGAGAAGCATAACCACGCAGAGCCACTGTTATTGTTCTGTTGGAACAATAACAATACGTTTCGACATATATCATCTCGACAATGGCATGAATGTGGATACATGCTGTAAATCGGACTTCCTCTCTTTTTAATGCGAGCACGTACATTCAGCCTTAATTAACTTACGTCAATAAATTTTATAATTTATTTCTTTGCATTAATTATTACATGCAAAGACATGCAGTATATAAAAGTATGATTTTAATTATGCTCTACAGAAGTTGCTCAATTTAACCCTCCGTAGTCACACCGGGTCAATTTGACCCGATCCTCAACTTTGTTCGTAAATATCTTGCGCGTAAATTGGCGGGCATGACGCCCTCTGGCTGTAGTTAAAAAAAAATTTTTTTTTTAAACAAATTTTTTGCGAATTTTTTTTATATGTTAAAAATTCCTGAGGCCCTTCTTTTTTTATAGCAATCAATTTAGCAATATCGCAAGTGCATTCGAGAATTTTTTCAACACGATCAGTGGATAAATGGTCAAATGGCGAACGGTCAAAGTTCGTTTCGGGTCAACATGATTCAGAGTGACTTTTTTGTTTGAAAAAATAAGTGTGACTACGGAGGGTTAAAACATTATTTTCCAGATTTTAAATAGATTATTATTCTCTCCAGCAACTTGATTGAAATTTCAGCTAATTTATATCTTTGAATTATAATAAATGTAATTAGAGCAACATTGAAAATCAATTTTTCTGCAAATGTATTTCTTAAATTAATTAACATTGTTTAACAAATACGTTAATGCTTATCCCAGTTTTTCGCTACAAATAGAACGCGATATAGAATTGTTTTCGTAATTGGCCATCGGTCAAAACGAGAAAAAATAAGGAGGCAGTTGCGACACGACGCGTCGGCTCGAAACCGTTCAGTGCGTGCACGTGCCAATGTTTGACCGGAAGTCGGGTTACATTGTTTCTCCCTAGCGGATGCGCATCTCCGCGGCTTTGTATACGATCTCGTGTTTACGATTTCACGTGTACATACGTATGCAGATGTAATACGGTTCCTTCCTTCTCCACGCGCCGAATCTAACCGGTGATTCCAACGCTTGGTAAGAAGACCGGCACCGAAAAAGTGATTCACCTAGTTACGTTGCACTTTTACTTCTAAGGAACGACACGTGTCGAAGTTCAAGCAAATCCACGCGATGCTTATCTATACAATTATGTATAATTTGAAGAAGAAGATAATTCGAATAGACTAAACATTCTGATATATGTGATATGACAAATAAATTTTGTTTTAAACATGAAAATAATCGCGAGTTATTTTGTCATTATGGAATAACGTCGTGAAAGATGCGTTAGTCGAAGCAGGATAGTGAAAAACATAGTATAAATTAATTGAGTATCTTATCTTTCCGTTTGTTAGCTTCGTGGCATTGAAGCTGCGTTTTATTTCTCGGCTTATTATTCTCTATCCCGATTTTCATCGGTTTCGCGTTCATCATTTCCGGTGAAATATGTCTTCTATAGCTGTTAATTGCAGGATCGGATGCGACGAATCCACACAAATGGTCATGTATTGTTTCTTCTCATCATTAAAATTAATTAATATAACATTTCGTAATATTTTGTGAATATAAATTTATTATTATCTCATAATAGTCACCGAATATTTTTAAATTAAAATAACAAAAAAATATGGCTAATCACGCGTTACTTTTTCTTTTAAAAATCTTGTACTATTGTAATGCAACATTGAAATCATGATTTATTTAGAATTTCGGTATTGTGGAAATATTTACGAGTTGCACTTATATATATACCACCAGACTTATATATAGCACCGCAGAACACGTTTAGATTAAATCCAGAATAGACTTCGTCTAATGAGACGCCTCGTACGCGGACGAGAGAACATGCTCGTGTAACACGGGTTAATTAATGAATTACTTCATGTTACCACCTTAAGAGAAAGATGATGCGTGCAGCTATGGTTCACTCGCTGTTATTGTTACGCGATATACCGTGAGAAGCGACGATGAAAATGATAATTTTCATACACCCTGCTAGGTTTTGTAAAAGTGGAATATTTACGAAATATATTCCCCACCACACCACACGTGCATGCATATTGTATAATTATTGTGTGACAAAGACATAATCTTTTTCATGGAGTTGTTAGAAAATTTTTTTTTACACAATTGCAGTATTGTTTGTGAGTTAAAAAAACAGGTTTGCAGGAAGATTTTTAACTTACCGCCATTGTTTCATACAGTAAAACCGCGCCGAAAAGCAAAAGAGCGCAGATTATTACTTGATACCTCGAAATCATCTAAAAGTTGAAAATTTAATTACTCAATAATCGATGTTTAAATCAAAAGTGTATTAGGAATAATTTTTTATTTCATACAGATGAAATTAAATTTACAAACATCTACAGATAAAATTAAATTCACAAATATCTGTTTAACTTTATTGTTGTATAATTTCGAAGTGCTGCTATTATTTTTAGAAATAAAAAGTAACCGAAATTATAGTAGAAAAGAGATGAGGTGTGGAGGATTAAGTGATGTGCTTACTTTTCTGAAAAATCTGATCCCCTTAGTCCGCAGTGTCGTGCTGCGTGGTGATCATTTATCTTTCCGTGTTCCTTGTCTTTTCAGTTTTTCGTGTACCGCCGCACTTATCCGATTTGCTTCAGGTTCGTAAGGTGATGCTACTTCCAAAGTATCTTTCTCAAAGGATGGCTCCATGAGGTGGTGGTATATATATGGCTTTAGACACATCAACCAGACACAAAAGGGGGGACTCTTGAGAGTCTCTCTTTCTTGGGGCTCCCACATCAGACGAACGGAGAAAGAGAAGATCCCAGAGCGGTGGAAGGAGGGATGTTCTTCTGTGGTGCAGCAGATTCTTCTCTTACGCAATCGTCTCGTGCTCTAACACCCGTGAAAATATTCGTAACCATCGTACTTGAACCGTTGTGATACCTGTGCTCTTCTTTCCGTCTCCCTCGAAATACAAGAAAATTCGAGTAGTTATTATAATTACTCTTTTTTTCACATCTGAATCTTCATAGAAATTTGCTTCCATAAAATTTTATTTAGATTTTTTTATTGTGTATAAAATAAAAACGGTACTAACCGAGACCCTTTTCTGAGCAATATCTCACCTCGTGGAAATCTTCAGTCTATTTAAAGAGTTTAAAGGAGACTTGATATCTCACTTGATCAAGATGCGCTCAATAAATTAGCTACTCTTACTTGGGAGTTATGTGTCTAATTATTCTGGCCGCTGTTAGAATTACAAACGACTAAGGAAAATACTGGTTATGCAAGTAAAAATATACACAGTTCACATCTGCGATAATGAATTAAAGAATTTGAAATTTAATTCGCATCTCCAACTAGTGAGAAAGCAATGACGTTTTTCTTTTTTATTAGTACTGTAAGTACAGACTGTAAATTGATATAAGTGACAAAGAAGGGAATTACATATCGAACACAGAGTCTTGTCTTTGTAATATCAGTATTCAGTGCTTTTCCACTTTGCTAAGAATATGATTGACGTATCATTTTGTTACATAAGCGATCGAATACTCTTAGCTCGCGCGATCGTATCGTTAATTATTGTTTTGTACGTCCACGCTGGAGGGATTGAGATCAACGCGTTGATCTCTTCGATTAGATACGATCCTTTTTTTTTCCTTTTTTTTTCGATTCTTTTTTTGCAAAACGGAAATGCTCGTCAGCAGGTCGGACCCGAAATGATTCGTTATTCTTATCGTGCGAGATACATCCAAGGTTGCGGTATCGCGCAACGCTCAAGCTTGTTCGTCATAACACGAATCAACGAATGTGAATCTACGTCGTTCTGTCTCTTATTGCTTCTCGCGAGATTCTCGCGATTGTACAATGCCATGATGTGACATACGCCATTCATGTTTTGGCAACCAACACTTTCACCCTGGATCGTAATGGCAATCTTAATATTGCGACCTGTTAACATATACTAACGCTCGTATTCGCTAATGAGATTTTTTAATGACCGTTGCTGGACATCGGTGCGTGCGCGAATTTATGATCTATCGCGATCTATCGCGATGCTATAATTGCGCAATACAAAGGAGACATTTCAAGATCTTTAAATTATAAAGTTCTCTTAGGGAGATTCAATAGCCCGTTTCACTTTTTTTAAATCAGTGGGATCTTTAATTGCTAAAGCTCTCTTAAGGAGATTAAATGGCCCGTTTTGCTTTTTTAAATCTGTGGGACAGCGATGACATTTACGAGTATTTCGTTTAACGTGCGCGCGGCTGACTGCTCCGGGAAAATATCTTCATAAACGCATTAAAAACGTGACCTTGTGATACATCGCTGAATTAAGAATCGCGAGTCGCATCTCCCGCGAGGTCGAGCTCATTTGCATTCTGTTACACGTGCGTCAGCATCTTCCGCTTTGAGCCCCTTAATTTTCGAAATGCGTTTCGTGCCAATTAACGATGGATAATTGACACTTGTGAGCTTTTCCAGATTGACATGTAAACTCGGTGGAAAATCAGACATCCGGCCGTTACGGGTCGTTGATAACTTACGCCATGAATTATGCACCGTCATTTTCCCTTTCAAGCAAAAACTTCAAGTATCATGTTTTAATTTTTTATAATCACATTATTTTAGATTTTGAAAGATTAATTATTTTTTAGTTTTTAAAATATCATGTATTTATAAAAACTAGCTGTAAGACTCCTGTAAAGAAAAATTTTAAATATCTATAATACATTTTTTACGCTGTATACGGAGCAATTTTTTAATTGCGTGCATTACGTTTCGCAGCTTTTATATTATTAAAACATTGCGTCATACATACACATATGCAATAATGGCATGCATTTCAAGAACAGGAAACAAGCACTAGGAGAGCGCATCCCTTCTCTTCTTACGGCCGATTTCGCACGGATCGTATTGCAGCTCGCGTTGCGTGCGGATGCGGAGTGCCACAAACCGCGGGCACAGACTGTGGTTCTTAATTAAATTATCTGTCTGCTAATTAGATATCGGAGCGATTGCAAAATATTTGTAACAACCGTGGGAAGATCTCTTTATTACTTTTTACGCGTAAATGAAATTACGCTGGAAAAACACCAGCGAGGAAAATGTCTTTCACGCTCATTAAATAATCCGTCATTAGCTCATCGTTTACCCTGTAAAATAGTCCTGATTTAAATTTAGGCTGAGAAATCGTTGACCTAAATTACAAAACGCGAGAGAAAGATTCTAAAATAAAACATAAAGTTTATGATATAGAAAATACACAGAAAAAAAGAAGTGTCAAATCAAGACTTATTCTCATATATAGGTACGCAACAATCTATAATCTTGGAATAATTAATGTATTGCGTTAAACGAAGAAAACTTGCTTGAATGAAGTCATTTCTATAATTCAATTAAGAGAAAAAAGTTGAAATAAAAAATTAAAATTCTTATAAGAAGATTATAGATTGTTGCGTATATACGGCCGGTACCTATTCATAATTAGATCTTATTTCAAGACCGTCTTAAGTACTATCTTAAGATGCTAATACGGCTATGTGATTGGTTAATGACATCTTAAGATTGTACTTAAGATGGTCTTAAACCGACTATGAATACCGGCCTACGAGTATATAAGTTTTGATTCGATACTTCTTTTTTTATGCGCGTTTAGATATAATTCTCTTAGCAAAAATTTGTTACTTAGCGATCTCTTGAGATCCTAAATCAAGCCCCTACTCCTATACTGATGGTTTAGAAACGTCGTTGCACTTTTTTCTAAAAATAGCTGGAGTACTATGCTTGAGAAATGTAAGAAGATATATTTCGAAGGAATGTTTCTCGCGACACTCGTCCAGCATCTTCGCACGATGCGCTCTGTGGTATAATCTGCCGCAATTTCATAACGCCTTGACTTCCGAGCGTCTTCTTTCCTGTCGCCGGATGCCAACAGAGAGAGAGGCATGAAAGTTATTCTCACGTTTTTACCGCTCGCCAAGCGTCAAATAATTCATCGCGGATCGGTGATAGTTTCTGAAGAAGAATCAGAGAGATTCCTGGAAGATTCGTTGATTGCCGATGATAAATCCAATGATATAACAAATAATTGTTGGTGCATTACGACACATATGCCGTTATTAAATAAATTCGCGGGAGAAGCATTGTTTCCATTTACGGCTGCACCGTTCCATATTAATTGCAGTTATAAACGCTCATTAATGGGGAATCTTGTGTGTATTTTATTACGTCATATTACTTAATGCGATTATGATTGATATCTGTGTGAAATGAAGGATGGAAAGAGGGCAAACTGAGAGAGACGGATAGATTTGACGGAAGATAGCAATATTTTAGACACAGCCAAATTTTTTGTTTCTTGTGATTAAAAATTCCCGAGGCCGCTGTTGCTTGCGCATTGTTTCTGTCGCATAAATTTTATTGTGTTTTACTTATGTAAGTAATAAGAATTATGATGGAGAGTGAACGTCAGGAAGTTGCTCCGCAATAGTGTTAATGAGTCCATTATTATTAAATTCCATATATTAAAGACGCAACTTTAAATATTATTCGAAAAAATTGTTATAACTTACAAATGGCTATAAAATTATTATGCTCTCTATATGTACGTCTATGAATGTACATGCAGACATATGATTAAACTAAATATTCTGTGCGATACATTCTGTGATAATTCAAAATCAGAGCCCTCGATCTCGAAGCCGAGATCTGAGAGTTCCTCTTCCTCGTCGCGATTGTGATTAATGTCGGCGGCGTCAGGCCTTATCGCCCGCGTCACCTTAGGTTTATTGCAGGTGTATCGGCCTCACACACAAAGGCATTCGCGTACGTAACGTGCGCGTACGTACACGCCTATATCGCGGCTCGTTTTATCAGTCAGCGCGATTCCGAACGAACGAACGGCGGCGGCGACGCGCGCTGTCCTACATTTTCAGTCGCACGTACACGACAGTGCATACCGCAGGTGCCTGTCAATCGTTCTCTCCTAGATATTCCGGTCTCGGATCCGCACGGAGAGGTCCGCGGGTACGCCGTGCAGAGCCGTGGCGAGTCTCGTTGCACGCGGATGCACCGCCGCCGTCGCATCCGCGTCATCGTTCTGCCCGGCGCGACGATGTTTCCGGAAGCGTGGGCTTTTTCAGCCGCCACCGCCGCCGTCGCTCGCCGCAGGTGCGTCGAACTGTAAGATCGCGATCGGTCGATCGCACCTGGGTGAAACGCACGCCACGCATCGAATTCACCTCGATTTAGAACGAGCTGTGCGTACACGCGCGTTTGTGTGTGGGTGGATTCGTTTACGCAGGGCTGCATGCAGAAACATCACCCGAGTGCTAAAAATCCTATACAGCATATGTTATGTGCACTATAGATTTTTAGCACTCGGCGGATGATGTTTCTGCACGCAGCCCTGCGTAAACGAATGCACCCTGTGTGTGCCTTTCGTCAATCATGTCAACCGTCGCTGAACGCAGGAAAGTGAAGGTAAATAGCTGAAGGTAATCCGCCGCGTTTTCAATATTTAATGCTCCGACCGTTTTCGAATCGAGAGCGATGGAATTCCGCTGTCCATCGCTACAGATCGGATCTTTTCGTCCGAATGGATCGTGATTTCTCCGATAAAGAGCATCGCGTTTGTGTTTCGTCGCGCGTTGCGACTTGCCGCAACTCGATTTCAAACTCGGGTCCGACGGCTCGCGACGATCATTGTAATTAACATGCGGCTATTGTTTAAATTAACGATCGATGGTGCCGCGCTCGGCGTGGCTATCGTATAAATTCTTCGCCCGATAGTTTCGCTCCCGTCTCGCTTATGCAATCGCACGCATCCCTGCGTTTGCGCCACCGACCGATAAGTCGCTTCACGTTGAATAATTGCGCGTGTTTTCTCGTCGAATATTTAGCAACGGGAATTTCGACCGTAAATCTACGACACCTGGCGTGTCGTCTTTATCGCGAATGTTGACTGTGAGACAAGCGATATGATAAAGCAGTTCAATGATCATGATGACGCATTTCGTTATTGTTCGAAAAAAAAACAATCCATAAAATAATCTTCGAATAAATGATCGATGAATCAGTAACACGTGATTAAAAAATTATCAAGGACTCAAAAGAGGGTTTCTTTTTACAACTTTAACTACGTTAAAATTGTTCTGTTACTATGAATAAAGTGTATCTTATAGTAAGCTTATCTCGTTGATAACGTTCTCTATCTAAAGTTTGAACTTGTGAAACACTATGTTTTATCGCTATGTTTTACGAGCCGTGGCAAAACAATTTTAATTGCAAAAGTGAAGAAACTGATAAAAAAACAAGTGGAACGGATGGCTCTGCCTGAACGTCTCGTTCTACCTGAGTTATTCGTCGGCCGTTGCGCCTCGCGAAATGAGTATCGGCGAAATGAAGCGTGTAAGTACGCAAATAAGAGGCATCGGATAGTTTTTATCGGAGGCCATATGGAACCATCTCTTCTATACGTGCACAATTTTTTCTAAGTTCGATTCTACCGGCTTACTCTATCAGAGATCTCGTTGAGAGAAGAAAGAAACATATGCTTATATTTTTGGGAATTTGTGTTAGAACGATTTAATCGTACGGCGTTAACACACCGTCAAGCTTTTTCCCCAACGAATTCAATCCGCCGCGCCGCGCTGTTCAAATTCCGTGAGGACGTATGCGTGGCACGCATCGTTAGAATCTCCTTCGTGACACGACCGTAATAGTTTCCGGTCAGACGTCCAGCGGCGCTCGCTTCCGGTTCCCACCCTACCACGAGCATGAAAAGGGGAATTGGTTGATTTCGCGTTGTCAGATGTAATCGCCGGCCAAATATAACGTATAAATTTACGCGGCGTTTGCGACTTTTTCCTTTCCGACGAGAGCGCGAATATCGACGCCGATGTGGGCAAGAACGTGCGCTTTATATTATAATGTCGTGCAACATGACGTATATTATATACGGGCAGCGCGATTGTCTGCGCCATTAGAGCGTTTTAAACGTTTTTCTTTTTAGTAATTCTCTCTTTATTATCTCTTATTGTATAAGAGGCCGAGATTCTGCGAAGTATCGTCGAAGAGACTAACGGAAATCTAGGAAACCGTAATAACGAGCAGCGATTCCATTTCATCTGTTAACGCTACCGTTATCGGGCATCCCGAACCTTCTCCTCTTGCTGCTCACGCACATGCACACGGATGCTAATTAATTATACGAGGTGTCTTCTGACTTCTCGATGGTATGCGCGATAATAATGGGTTTAACATGCAAACTGTCTGTTTTACGGGACGGCGATAAGAGATACTCGCGTAAAGCGTATATTTTAGAAAATCCTATTTTTACGAGACACCCGTTGAATAGTCGCTCGCATTAACAGTCCTGCTATTGTATATACGCGGGTGTAACTCGACGACAGGTGTACAGGCACAGCTACGTACAGGACGTCCCATAAAATACGTTCCTCTTTTACACGCTATTTTTTGTGCCACTTTTAGATCCATTTTTTTTAACTTATTATAAAAATTTCTGGCGCATGGATAATGACCGTCTTAAATGTAATGTATATCCGAAGAGGGAGAGAGAGAGAGATTTTTATAGTAGAATTTTTTAAAATACATATTTATGTAGCACATATTTTGATGGCCATGTACAGTTATTTTACTAAGAAAATATTATAGAGGAAGAATAAGATTTCGTTTGAACTTTTGTATCGTAGTGGTGTGTGTGATTGTTTATGTAATTTATACAATATTAAATCTGCATTTTTATGCACATAGATAAAAATTTTTATTACTCTTGAAATAATGATTGTGGATGCCTCGTAAGCGCGAAGCCGAATAACAGAAACACACCACACCTGTAACCGACGGAATACATTAATGAATCCTTCCTCACCTGACTATCGGTCACCTGACTCATTTCCTGTGGACTGAAAGAACCCCCGGTACGTTTAAAATCGTCGATACAATTGCATCCCGCGCGCATCCGCTGTCGGGATGTAATCACAGGAACGCGAACAAAAACCCGTCATTGTCGCTACGCGTATTGCAGTATGAACAGTGAAAGTTAAAGCAGTGAACGTCTATCCGTTGTATAAATTTTTTCCCCCTACGTTTATTTAATTTATAATACAACAAGAGATTAGAGTTACAGTACGTAAATTAATATATAGGATATTAAAAGATTATGGCAAAGAGTAATTATAAAGACAGGAAACGAAGAATGAATAGATAATTATTATTGACAATATTGTATAATAGGAGAAGAATAGGGTCGAAACAATAAGCACAGTTCTTATTAATTCCCATATTGTGTCATAACGTTGTAAATAGAGGTTTTGTCCGAGCGATTTCACTATAAATAGCACAAATATACGGTTCGGTGCAGTGAAGTGGAAAGAAAGGAAGAAAAGGAGGCTCCGAGGAACCAGTACGATGCAAGGTGCAACACGTGCTGCCCGACAGCTGTTTTCCGGTTTAAATTCGGACGTTAAGTCCATTTTTAATTTCGTGCCCGGGCGCACCTTCAAATAATAATAATTACTATGTGACACGGGGTGAGTCCTTCTTGTCTGTTGCAAACTCGCGAGTCATTCATCGAAACGCGCGTCTTATTCATGTACTAGAGGCCGCGTTCCAGGGAACGCGACCGGAAGTAGATTATCGTAAGAGTTGTAAACATTTTCTATATTTCACTGTTTAAAGATTATAGGAGCTCCGGACGGCACGATAGAATAAATGTATCCTGATCGGCAAATTATTTGCAGGTAGCCTGTTATTTCTGCCCGATGTAAGAAACGAGAAAAAAAATACAAGAGGAAGAAGCGGCATATTTTCATATCAACCAGCTATGGAGGACGAAGACTTTGGTTTCGCAAAGAGAACGGACAATGTCCTGAAGAAGATCCTTACCGTTAATAATGATACAGCTCATAACGTTGAGCAACTAATCTATTCTCCACCGAAGGTTAATTTTTTACTCGCGTACGAGTATCATTTTTGTAGCACATCCCGTTGCGAACAGTAATAATTAAAATCTAATATAAATCTACAGGAAGATAGATTTGTTTATTTATTTTGAGACACACATTTAAATTTCATACTGCTTATGACTGCAACATTTCCAGCGTATAACGATTTTTAAAATATTTTTAACAAGAAATAAGTATAAATTTTTATTAATTGTTGTTTTATAAATACTAAAAAATCGGCAATAATTGAATACGTTAAGAAGTAGAGTTTTAAAGATATTCTTTAATTTGCGTTATTTTTACACGTCGATCAGATTTACTTATATCGTTTATATTGATAAACAATATTTCTTCTTATTGATAAAATTATCTACTGTTGCGATGAATATCATTACATTCCTCAATGGTCGAATTGATAAAGACGTTCCAGAAAGTAGAGACATTCAAATTTGAAGTGTTCGAACTTTGGCTGAGGTGTCATTTTTCGCAATATTCTATATATTCCACGTATCTTATATATATCCTATATTTTCTATATTATATATTCTCCTATATTCTAAAGATTTGTATTAGTATTATTAAATTGATTATTAATTTAATTATGTGATTGTACCTATTCCAGCTTTAGTTTGAGACTGCGTTTCAAGACAGATAGTAACGGCACGTGGTTTGTTAGGACGATAAAATGATATAAATTCACGTGAATAATATTATTAGACACAAAAGCTTCAGCTTGACCATATAAGGCATATTTTTATTTATTTGTGTTATTTATATGTCGGTCGAGTTCATTACATTAATATTTTTTAATTTTTGTAGAATGATGATATAGAGCGTGGAAAATTAGAATTTTAAGGGGCGCATTGTAGAAATATGAAAGTAGATCGACATTTATAACTTGATAAAATGTAATTAGACATCGGAAGTCGTTGGTGGAGGTGGATCATCGACACCAGCGCCTCGGATCGGGGCCGGAAGCGAGGGTTCTGAACGCGCGTCAACCGCCGCTGGCTCAGTCGTGCCCAACACGCCGAACATACCGAACGTGGTGGAGTACCATCTTAAAGTCAAGCCTAGGTCAACGACGAGGCACTGCCGACTCGACAACGTTCCCGTGAGTAGCGTTTTAAGACTCTCTCGTGGAGAACGCAGGTAGAAAGGCGCGCTCAGGATTATTGGTTGCGTGAGGATCGATTTGCCGTTTCCATTAGCGTTATTTGTCATTACAATGTTTATCGAATACAAAGCGTCGTCGTGTTGTAAATTATCCCGTTATTCATTCCGTGTTTCGCTTCTTCTTGATTTAAATTCACGACGCACTCGCATTCTTTTTCCTATCCATTATAGGCCGGTATTCATAGTCGGTTCTTATATTTAAGACCGTCTTAAGTACAATCTTAAGCCGTCACCAATCATGCAGAGCCGTATTAGCATCTTAAGACATTACTTAAGATAATCTTGAAATAAGAACCGATTATGAATACCGACCATATAGAAACTTTTAATCATCAGTTGTTTAGATCACAAATGATCG